TTCCACATGCCTCGAGGGCCTGATTCGGTAGCCTTGCGGACCCAGGAACGGTGGCCCTGGCGCAGTGCCTTAGCCAACACCTTTCCTTTGCGGTTCCTGACTTTGGTGTAGCGCTCCCACCGGAGGCCCGTAGTATGGTCGGTAGGGCCGTTCGCAGTAACTGATTCCGTGTACTCACGCCGGAATTTCCGGGTGATCTTGACCATTTCTCGACATTCCGCATTGAATGAAGGGTTCGCCCACTTGCTGGGTTTCGCCCACGGGGTGGAGGCAGCATTCCTTGGTTGACTGTCTCGATAAGATATTCCGTAGCGAGCTCAATATGCTGCTTCGTTTGCAAGGGAAAGACCTTACTCTGTAGGTTGAGGTCCACGAAGCTCTGCAGGTCCTTGACACTGCAGGCTTTCCAGTTCCTTCGTCGCTGTGCCTCGGGGGTTTTATTGCTGATATCCAAAAGGGTTCGTATGGGATAGTGGTTCGAATCTGCGTGAATTCGCTCGTTGACCTCGCGGGGCAACGAGCCTAGGGGTCAGGTCCTGCGAGCCGAGGACCAGATCGCCTGAGAGAGACTAGAGCCACCTGAGAGCCAATGTCCTGAGGGAGACTAGAGCCATCCATTCCAAAAACACATATATCAGACGAAAGTCCCCCGGCGTGAGAGAATAGCTCCGATAAACGGGTAAACAGCCCTGTTGGGTATCCCCCATCCATACCTTTCGCTGCTAGCCCATGGGAAATCTTGGCCATCGGACAAAAGTGCGGTGACCTGTTACTGGCTTTCAGAAACACTGTTGCGCAAAAGTGTAGCTTGTATAGTCACTAGCCCATGGCAAACCCAGCCATCGGGTAAAAGTGTGGTCCTCCAGTGATAAGCTCGCACCTCAACGTGGTACTGGAGTCTAGTAGCCCGCAATGACCTCTGAACAGGTGAAGCTAAGACGAGCTTTAGGTAGTTGAGTGACCCTTTTATCTAGAGCACAATCAGACCGGCTCGGACGTCAAGAGGCTACGTCGTGAAACGAATAGGGGGGAAGGTGAAGTATAATTTCTAGGTGGGTATGCAATCGTTGGCAGGCGTCTAAAAACTTCGACAATGTGGGCGAGAGCACTTCTCGTTTCAACACAAGAGGCAGAGGAATTTTGAGATAAAGACATTGAGAGAGCAAGATCAAGTGTCATCGCTATTTTTCAATTTCACGGAAGTCCAAACTGCTAGAAAATACGACGCAGGTCGCTTGAATCAACGGATGCACAACTGGGTGTCATTATGGCCAGCCCTGGTGATTGAGCCCACGACACGGCTCACCTTATACCGAACGAAAAAAGGAATAGGTTCAACGTCATCTACTTAAGGCTCTAGACCCAAACTCATGAGTGGTGAATACTGTACCACCATACCCTTCCCATCATGGTGAGCTTGAATGATCCTGCCGTTCGGGCCTAGATAGGATAGAATAAGGATCTATTATCCGATCAGCAGTGTGTTTATATTGCCAATGTTGGAGCGCGGTACTTACTGGCAATATAACATGCGCAGAGTATTCTTGATCATGATAACGGGATCAAAGTATTTTCACGATCCCTTTCACTTCTCCGATCGCAAGAGTTTGGTCTGTTCCGTACGTGCTGTGGACCATGCAGCACGCTGCATGAGGGTACTCCGTATTCTCACTCTCATATTCCACCACCAAACACCAACGCCCGGGCGGAGCGTATTTTGTCAGAGAGAGATAATATCTTGGTGTTCTTCTAAGGCTAGATCGGTTGAAAATTAGTATCTGGAAATGAATTGGGAAGCAGGACGTACCGGTTAAGTTGATGTAAGAAGGTGAATTATCCAATCCATCCAATTCCCGCTCATCCCGTTGAATACCAAGAGGAAGCTCTGTGGCAAGCCAATTCACATGTGAGAGCTTCTCCTCGGCGTATTCCATTATTCCATTAGATCCCCCGGTTGGTTATCAGTCAGACTCTCAGAATAAATCAAGTCGAATGGTTCTTCCGGTGTTAACGGATGCTCGTCGATGATGGATGCTGGGAGGAGTTTGAAGAAGCAGGGTGAAAAGTCCAGCTCGTCGTCATGAAATCCAACCTGCATCGGTCGGAATCCAATACTCCCGAGTTCACTGATTGGAATCAGTTCTTTATCCAGGGCGTCTACATCCTGAAGCATCCGACTGAGATGTATGCGGATAGCTGCGCGTTGGGACTTCACTTCTTTTTGCGTAGCCATGGTGTCACGAGTGAAGCGATGGGGTGCTGGTGGAGGTTTTAGGAAGAAAGACGAAATTTAGAAGAGTGTAGGTATGACCGTTCATTCTTACTCCATACTTGGTCATCGAGTAGGTATGGGATGCCTGAGGAGCACGTGCCAAGCATTCCGCTGGTTGCCTCTCCATGCCCTAGAGGTTACTTCACGGGACCACCCATTATCTTAGCGATCCCAGAGGCCTTCACTGCTTTGATCTTTTCGAAAGGCCATAGTCGCCTCGTTTTCATAGCGTTCGACGCCTCGATATCACCTTCTTATCAGCTCACGCTGGATCGTCACTTTCTTGTGATCGAGGTTCACCTCGTTAAGAATGTTTCAATCGGCTTTATTACCTTGATTCTATGGCGGCGCGCCTTTATTCAGCGAGTTAAATCGGCTTTTCTCGCCTTGATATCGCCTCTTTTCATCAGCTTCGCACCGCAACAGCTTCGCGTCTCTATTTTGTGGGTTGAAATCAGCTCTACGCCTCAATGTCACACCCGATTAAACGAGATAGTCTTCGTAACTTTGGTATAGGATTCTATGAACTGATATTGATTTGATTGTGTATGGAAATGTTAGTATACTCGTCGTTAGGGAGATAACTTAACCGGCCTAGTATGCCATGACCCGGGCGTTAATCCTTAGTGTCTCAGATTATGCCTCACACTGAAAGGAAATTCAGCATACCAACTCAAACCTCCATACTAAATCATCAACTCAACTTAACTTCTCCATGCTATGGCTCTCGGCAGCAAATTCCAAAGCAAAATCAGTCTCCGTTGTCGGCGGACCGGCATAATTTCTATACCCCCAGGCCCAATACCAGAGGGCCGAGATGATAACAAAGCCGACGAAGACGACAGAGGCGTAGTTCATGCTCTCCTGAGTGACTGGGATGGTTGTTGGCATCGAGAAGAGGGGAATGGCAAGAAGGGTCCATGCTAGATATTTTTAAACATGTGGTTAGATCATGGTTGGTCTGATTCATTGCGACGCGCACAATAGACGAGAAAAAACTGGGAGCTAGATTGCAATGTGCCTGTACTCACCAATGCAAACTATATTGCAGAAAATGCCCAACGCGCCGAGATCAAAGTTTCCCTTCTTGATGTCTTTGCGACGGCGAAGGATCAGGGAGACGGCAACCGGGGAACCGTAACTCAAAGTTAAGAAGATAACGCCTACACCCGAAAAAGCGTTGAATGCGGCCGTGGAGCCGAAGTAGATAAGGCCTAGGAGGATTTCGATGGCCATGCCGAGCATCATTGCATTCAGGGGAACGTCTAAACTCTTGTTGACCTTCTTGAACCATTTCGAACCGGGAATGGCGCCATCGCGCGCAAACGCCCAGGTGCACCGAGACGCGGCGGTCACGCAACCCACGCCACACAGTATACCGAGGATCAGGAGCGGGATAAGGAGGCAGAAGGCACCTGCGGAATTTCCGGTGGCTGATAAGATGATTGTCGGGACGGGTTGGCCTGAGGCGAGGTTTGCTAGCATGGCGATATCGGGCAGGACGAAGCAGATAGGGATCAGGAGACAGAGACCGGCAAAGAAGTTGAGGGCGACGCCGCCGACTATCGCTTTGGGGACCTGAATGGCAGGTTTGTGCACTTCTTCGCACATTCTATTGCACGGGCATCGCGGTTAGTATACTTGGCTGCGCCAGGAGAACTACAAAGGCTTGTACGGAGACCCACGAGGTGACCATGCCAGATGCAGAAAGACCATAGGCAGCCTGAAGCAGGCCGATACAAAAGGACCAGCCGTCGGGCCAGCCTGACTGTGGCTCAAAACTGGTAAACACCCATTTAGCAGATCGTCTGCCGTGGGCTGCAACGACAAGTATAGTGATTATGATAGCGGCTACTCCTGCGAGGGTCCAGAAGATGGCGAAGGTCTAATGAATACATTATCATGTTAGTACCATGAGACATGCGAAGGATAGCTTGTAGTACCTCTAAATGTGTCAGCCATCGGTTACCAAAGGCGGAAATAGCATGACAGAGCAGGGTGATCGCAAGGAAGATAAGGTAGCTCTGATATGTTTCAAAGTTCTCTGTGATACCAACACCGTCGGCATTTTTGAATACATTCAAGCTCTCGACGAGAAATAGCGCCGTGGCAAAATTAACCGCGAGAGTTATGGTGATATTTCCCGCAATATACGACCAACCGCAAACCCAGGCCGTGACCCGACGACACCACGTGGGTGACAAGGCAAAAGTCTGATAATACACACCACCAGCAGTGGGATAGACCGAAGTGATCTCTGCTAAAGAGCCAGCCACACATAACATGATTAGCGACACGGCGACCCAGCCCCATATCATGTTAGCTGAGCCACCGCCTGCCATCGTATACATCATGGTCGTGGACAAGCCATATGGAACCGAGGCAAGAATAAAACACATGAATACCACCTGCCATGTTGATCGGTTGCGCGATAATTCGGGAATGTATCCAAGCGATTCTAGATTCGAGTCCGCTGCTGCAGGCTTTTCCAGCTGAGGTGATTCTGCCATTCTGGGTTCGCCAGGCAGGTGTCCTGCGGGTAGATTGTCGTGACAAACTAGAGAATGATAGAGCTGCAAAGTTTGAAGTTTTCGCCCTCGACCTGCATGGATGAGCTGCAAAATGCGCTATCTTGGCCACAGGAAGAAAGAAAAACCGTCGAGAAGAAATAATGCAGAAGGAAGAAGACACAGATGAGAACCAGCGAAAATTTTCCAAATTAAGGCATCAAATCCACTCTCAAGTCTCAACAGTGATACAGCTGTGGATTGCTTATGTTGGCGTGCGGCACGCGCTATCTTTGGTTGAAGATCGATGGCTCCCATTTGTAGACAGCAAGAATGGGGGATTGGCATCTTGGCTGCCAAATCCGGGTTGGTGGGGGCCACATGGGGACTTCTTCGCGTCGAAAGTATTAAAAATCAATTCGATGAACAAGAATAGTGCCCCTCCGAGTGCCTTTCTGAGGGTAAAGAGGGTCAAAAGCAAGTCCAGCTTGTTGTCCATCCTGATATCGCCGGCTGGCACGAGGGCGCTAGTCCCAATTAGGGAGCCAAGATGTATCGATAAGCTTTCGGGTGGAGATGCCTTAGTCAGCACCCGTCTGAGGCCTTTTTCGCTTGGGTGCCTGAAAAGTTCGGATATAGAGACAACGATGCGGGGTGTGTGTGATGGGAACAGAGCACTGAAATAGGATAGTAGACGAGTAGTATACAGAAGTTCTCTTTTGTGGTACCCATCACTCGGTTAGAAAGTAGAGGCAAGGAGAAATAAAATAAGGGTCCCGCATGTATAATATCGAGATAGAAAGATAGGGCATAAAGACACTTGCATACAATCGCAATTTTCTGCAGGATCAAATCCCCTGCACGAGGTATCCACTCATAAGTTGTGTTTAGAGCCACTGAGCAATGACAAGCACGAGTCATTATTATTAAAACGCTTCCCTCCCCCCGCCCGCGGAGCGTGACAGGCCCCCTCGCCTGTTCCTAGTTCAACTGATAGTGCCAGTACCTTGATAAGTTTACTGCTGCACTGATCCTCACTCTTGCTAAATTTGATTCCAATCCTTTGCAGGCAGACCGATCTAGCCCACGAACCATTCAAGAATTGACGGTAGCCAGAAAACACTGGTAAGAAAGGGGTATTGAGCGATTTCAATTTCATATACCCTCCCCTTCACCTTCAAACTATCAAGAAGCTCTCATTGACAGAATTTGCCCTTGCCAAATGAATCCACGTAACACCCGGTTCGAGATCCAAAGCCCAAAACGTCTTCAAAAACGACAAGACCCGATGCCGATCCAGACTCCCGCTGAGCTGCATGATATTCAACATCGCATGCTCAATCGTCTCCTGCAGACTCGGAATTCCCCGACACTCGGACCCCGCTATAAACAAAGGCCACACGAGATTGTGCGCGAAGTACGCACTGCGCGAAAGATAAGAAAGATGCGTCAAAACGGCGTCTCGGGATATCTGGATGAATTCGTCGGAGGGGTCGTCCGAGAGGACACGATGGCTGTAGATGAGGATCGCATGGTAATACATGTACACAAGGTACTCGAAGTCACAGCGGGCTGAGCTGGATTTGAACTCCATGGTTTGGCCCATCTGGATGATTTTGTCCTTTGCGGCTTCGGTTTCGTCCAAGACTTCCGAGAGGCGGGGGATATTCGAGTTTAACCAGGGGGTGGATCTTAGGCGTTCGGCTCGGGTGACGGCGTGTATGATGCGGACGTATTCGGAGAAGAAGCTGATACTGCCATGGGTTGGGATGTTTTCCGATATGTCATCATTCGGGTCGAATCTTGTGAGATTAATAAAAACGGAGGTGTAATAGTATTCGTAGAGAAGAAAGACGTCGGACAGATCGACAGAGCCCGCATGCTGCGTCGATTGAGTCTTCCATTGCACGATTGCCCTCGCGCCTTAAATGTGGATTAGCCATCGATCAGCCTCGGCCGTAAGTAACTCCAGATTGCAAAGAAGAAGCACTGAAGCCAAGGCACAACGCGGGGGGTGGACCCAAGTCGATGGATTCGACGCAGTCTGAAAGAGACTCAGCTGCTGTGTCAGCGACGAAAGAGCCTTATCGCGATTGTAGCCTGACACGGCCTGCAATCTGCCGAATCAAGGATGATCAGCCGGATACTTGTATGCGAGATCCTCCGATGCTATGGCCAGCACGGAGAAGAGGACTGTCGGCGAAGTATGCGATAAGGGTAAGACGATATTCCGCCATGGGTTGCCCGGGCCATCAACCCAAGCGAGTTTCGTCGCAACGCCTTGGTCAAAGTGGCGGAGTAGCTGGGATGTGAGATTATTGAAGATTGGCGTGGGCTGGAGCGTGAGAGGCGATGGAACCTCCTTCTCTACAGGCACACATTTCCCCATTAACTTTCCTCTGCTCGCAACACCTTGATCCCATCGCAGATGGACTCCGTACCCTGGACAGTCGAAATCCCGCGAGATGCATTTTCGGCACTTGGGCTGGGTCCGATCACACGGGATACGTCGGAATTTGCATTTTTGACAATCTAGAGGACCAGGTTAGTGACACGCAGACGTAATTTCCATCGGATTTTCAGTTACCTTTATTGGCAGCGGGGACAGACGGTCCCGTAGAGGCCATATGAAGGGATTAAAAACGCTTCGACAGATCAAACGGGACGACAAGGTCTAGGCGCGTTGTTTGATTGGTGCTTCATTAGCGAGGTTGGTGGGATGGTCAGATTCAGGATGGCAGTTGGAAGGTGGAAAAGTCGTGGGTGTGAGTGGCAAAAGGTGCTTTGATTTAGCCGTCGGGAGCGCATCCGAGCCGATCCTTGGGTGCGTGGCAGTACGGCTGTTGCCCTATCTGAGGTAATCTAATTCTATGGGTAGCGATCATTCGTCATTTTCCTCAATCATATATAATGCTTTACATCACATCACTATTTCATTGTCTGTTCAATCTTAAGTTATCCGTCACACCACAAACAACATCTATCTAGCATTATTTGCGCAGGTCCAGCTAGAAGACTTCGAGCGTTGATCGATTTTCCAGAGACATAGAGTCCCAGCCCGCACTAAAGAGATCAATACATTGTTTCCAAGCTTGGAAGAAAGGAAACTTAAAATAGCGCACGCAATGCCCAGGATGATGAAATTCATCACGGTAAGGCAAATCTTCTTCGGCGAGGAAAGATAAAGACCCTTATTCATTGCCAGCCAGAAGATAGCAGAGAGTCCATCTAGATAGATTCATCAGTTTTAGCTGAGTCTAGGAAAAGAGAGGAATATTGAATACTTACAGCTGAGCTAGCTACCGAACAGGGAACTCTTGAGTTATGTTAGCACTCGAACGGCAGCATGCGGGCATACAACGTACTATAAGACTCAAAAGATCATTGAAGACGGGTATCGACTCGGCAATAACCCAGGCTACCACCCAGATAACCAAAACAATGGCTACCCACGACCCAACAGAAATAAGGCCGCGGTTATGCATGTGCGGTGATCCACGGAAAATACGCACGTAGATATACTTGCAGGCAACGTGTCCAACCACGACTCCGGAGAAGATAACCTAGCTTAACGGTTATTCAAGAACGCGAATGTGAAGCGAATCCTTATAGAAAGATATCTCAAATGGCTATGGCATTGACTTACCGTTGGAATAGCAAGACCGTAGGCAATCTTTTTCATCAAAGGCCCGGCAGAGCTCAGCGCTGGCGATGAAACACCTGGACCAGCATAAACACAGATCACTACCGCCGCGACAATATACATGCAGGTATCCGTTATCTGAAGCATGGCCAATGCCTTGGGGTAGTCGCGCAGATTCTCTATCTCAGAAATGTAGCCGAAGAACGCAACGTGAGCGACTATTCAATTAGCATGAGACCCGGCATCCAGTGGCACAGTGTTATCAACATACTGTACGCGAAGACGATGTTGGTAACGGCGAGAAATGCTTTAGAAAAATGTATGCTAGTGACAATATCAATCTGAGCGGGACCCGACCGTTGGACAGCAATGGTGGTCATCGTGACAAGGGTGGCGATAAAGATGCTAGCAAATGCTGGTCTTGTCAGTATAGCTTTCCAAAAGTAGTCGAGATACCGCTAATCACATACATGACAGTGAAATCCAATAAACTTTTTCCATCGTGCGCGGAAGAGCACCGATAAAGCTGATGACCAGTCCTACCACGCCAAAGACAATTGTGCAAGCACCGTGGTTGGTAAGCTCGTTCATCAGCACCGAGAATGTCAGGATATGACTAGCCACAATGAAAATCAGAAGGAACAGTTGGCCCAGCCCTAGCAGCTCCCGTCCAAATCGGCACAAGAGTATCTCGCCAGCATCGGCCATGCTGTGAACCTGAGGGTTTCGTGCCTTGAACTGACCAATGATGATTGCAGTATACCATGACATTCCAGATAGACCTAGAATCAAGATCATGGATCTGAATGAGAGTTAGTGGTTGTGTTATATTACAGGCGTTCCAACGTACGGGACGATGCCGAGAGTCGCCAAGGGAATGTTCTGTGCAATCATCACTGGTTTGAATTAGCTCGAGTCTTTTTATAGAATTTAAATGATGCTCACTTATTCCATATTGCCTGAACCATTAGCCAAGTGCTCATCTATCCAGGAAGGTTAACTTACCACCAGCTCATAACGCGATATTTGACTTCTACATTCACCTTCGTCACCAAACGGGTCTGCCTGGGGCGGCGTTTCGAGCTCGACAGCCTTTCTCTCATCATCATCAAAGGGCTGAATATCATCGTTATGAGTAGCATTGACATCTAGTGAAGGCCGTTCCATAATGGCGTTTTGTTGCGGGAGAGGAGATTGGTGGCAGAACGATCCCCGGGAACACAGTGTTATATGGGAACTTTCGTCTTAAGGAAACCGTCCAAGCATGACCAATCCTTAATCATAACATCGCATAAAACAGCAATGGAAAATGTCTATCATGATAAGCCCCATTCACAGTGGCAAACCCCCGCAAATATGGGGTAGTCGTCGGGCCCTCCATCCGGTATATCCTGGGTATGGGGAAGAGGACCTGCGAATTTTCATCAGAAAAGTGGATAATAGTATCCCAATATAAGTAAGAAGAGGCATGCAGTTACCTTGACCATCAATGATAGGCAACGCAGTCCCATAGTCTTTCCTAGGATAGCCAAGCCTCGCTCCGGAGGGGGGTTCCGGGCAAGATTGCCGTAACACATTTCCTTGACAAATAATGCTGTTGTCCCCAGATGAACAGATTAGATAAGATATTTCTCCTCGGACTCAAGGATCATAATGAGGTTAAGGGTGGTTGGAAGATTACGCTGCCTCCTTGCGGGATCCGCCACGCCGGGACACCCTTCCGGTTGCAAGTCTATGGTGGATACAGACGAAGGCTATCTCGCTGTAAACATAACCGAGTATCCTGTTATGGCAAGATACACCTATCAAGTATTTTCGTAGTTCTAGAATCCGTGAACCTCCTGTCCCAGGCCCTTCTTCCCTGTCAGATCTAGCGCCAATCGACTACTAACAAGGTCCATCAATCCCATGCCAACACACTTCAACACGACATTTCCTTCAGGATAAACTGATCCCCCATTACCCAGGTGCTCTCCGATCTCAATCAGGTCTTTCTCCGTTAAATTTGCATCAATCAGCTCTCCCGACTCTTCCAGACACGCTTCCTTCGTATCCACAAATACCTTACCTCCTCCCGACAGTAGAGTCTCCGTATCGATCTCCATCATATGCGGTTTGTACGACCCAATCAGCGAAATAAACCGACTTTTGGGAGACTTCTTAAGCGCGGAGAAAGAGAACAGGGGCTCTGTGGACGGGGTGCAGCAGAAGATCGCATCGGAGGCGCCCAGCTCCTCTTGCAGCACGCCTTCGTAGTCAGGGGTGTCTTCCTTCGCGATAAGTCGGAACGCCACATTTTCATTGACCGGACGTAGCCCACTCAGCACACCCTTCTCAAGTTCATCCAATCTCTTTCGTCTTCTGTTAATCGCCGTAATGCTGCCGACTTCCTCCCCGACCAGAAGGAGATCCAATCGAATCAATCACTCCACCTGCTTTCCGGACCCGAACACCTTGATCCGTCGTTTCGGGATATGAGAGACCCGTACGAATAGGTACATCGTTGCCAATGCGGTGCGGAAAGCAGTAATCTGCGACGCGCCAACAAGACCGAGCATTTGTCCTGTCGGCGAGAAGACGAGGTTCACGCCTGCGGTACCCTGCTTCGCGGGCAGTGTGATGATTTTGATGCCCGTGTTGTTAGTGTCCGAGCATGGCATGAACAGGGTTGTGTCTTTGTTTTTGTTGACGATGTCGCTGCGCAGGGGTTGGTGGAGGAGCTTTTCATCCTGGGAGGTTGTGGCCTCTGTTGAGAAGAGGTTCAGGGCGGCTGTGAGGACGCTGAGGAAGTGACGGCATTCTGAGCGCGAGAGGGTACAGAGAATTTGATAGACTTCGGGGAGGGGAGGGAGAACATTCTGAAGTGATCTTGGATATCAGATAGAGGCTGTATGTATGCAGGTATGTAGGTGATGGGGCTGTTGGTGAGGGGGCCTGATTATCAAGAGAGTATGAGATTCATTTTTATTGGGAAGGTATGATCTGCATCGGAACAGCCCTCCGATCCTCAACCTCGCCAGATTCTGACCTGAATGATACACTTTCTCCACCTTTCAGTTATCATGCACATAAAAATCTCTTAAACTCCAGGTAAGACATACCTGATGGTACCTCAGATACAGATGGCTCGACATAGTTGAGACTGTACGCAGAGATGGATGTGCCGTGTTTGTAAAGAGATAATCAAGGTCCCGCAGAATATACGCCATATCCCTGATGACCAATTGCACGGTTGATATGAAGGTCCGTCGTCGTCGAATGTCCGCCGTATAAACAGCTTAGAGGCAATAAGCTTGCTTGTCTTAACAGTGGGTCGCCTTGAATCCTGAGAGAAAATGGATCAAAGACATACAGTTCAAGATGAATTTAGCGTGCATGGTCAGAACGCGAGCCATTTCCGAGTTATCGTAGGCCACAGGCAGAGAGCACGTAACCTCAGCATCTTGAACAGAGCAGGGAGCCCCAATCATGGCCGAAATCTGGCGCTCGAGTATGTACATTGTCCACCAAATATTTCGGCATTGGTTTGCGAACTTGATCCCGAAGAAGTCATCAGGAGAGTCTCGATACAGACCCTCAATAATGCACATCCGTAGAGCTTGACCTATCTATGAGTTGCCATATCGTGGGCGTCGTTTGTTTATTGACTCTAATTTATTCAAGGAAGGGCTCACACACGTAAGCATATGCGCCATCCTTCATATCCACTGATATCAGATAAAATCCCGTCAGATACAGGACTTGCATTCCTAGATTAGGATGGCGATGTAATCCCAAAAAATCTGGCATGAGGGACATTGCGCGCTCGAAGAATGCTGCTCCGGGAGGTGTCCTGTGACCCCTTGACGCTGTTAGAAGGGCTTTTGCAAGAGCAACTATCAGCAGGTATTGGACGAACCCTAAAGGTATTTCCTTGGCTTTCTCAATTCCCCTTTCGTAAAGCTCATGCAAATGAGGCACAAATTCATCCTCATCAAAGAGAAATAGCATATGATACGAATGGAATTTGACGGCGTTGAGAAGGTAGAGAGAATCGCTCAGGGAAGGGAGTCCTTCTAGCATCGAAGAGTTGAGGCTAGAACGGCTCTATTTCAGCTCCCACGTGCTTTCATCAATGTGAAATGGAAGATCTGGGGCTGGAAAATCGGGGAACTCATTTTTCAGTAGTAGGAATATGCGCTGGGAAAATGACCACGTGGATGATGGGCCGCAGAATCCTTCATGCATTAACACGGGCCATTCAGAAGGGATTGAAGCCTCGACATATGGTAATGTCCCGAAGTATCTTTGAGATAAAACGACGTCATGGAAACTAGAGGATTTGTGATTTGCTCTTCCCCAGTTGCACTCGCTAGATTAAAGGCATATCAACTTTCTAGACTTCTTCACGGTGTATGACGGATCTAATGCAGAACATCTCTCGACGAAACATGTAAATCAGCCTCCAGGGCTAGTCTCTGTTCTTCCCTGTTATACACAGTTGTATAGAAATCCCGCAGCTTTCGCAAATAGCTAACATTTTCCAGTCAATAATCTCCGCGACTTGTTATCAAGAGCTACGAGCAAGGGTTACCTTTCGGAAACCAGGACCTTCTTCTCGGCCTCACGGAAGATGCATTCTACCTGACGTGCGACGCAGGGCTCGCATGGGTTCCTTCCAGAGCACTTGGTTTTTCTTTTCTTACACGGTTCGCACCTGATCGTCTCGTTAGTGATGACCATAGCAGGGGCCAGCATTGTGGAGAGTCGCACGCATTCGCCACCCGGTCCAACTGCTGCCTTCGGCGAGCTCTATAGACCATTATGAAAAACGGACATAAGAGAACAGCTCAATTTCCAGATACCGGGAGCAGTGTCCGATCAGAATATGCGAGGGAGGAGTTCCAAGTGCTTGACGCAACATTGACCCATCGGGATTTCTGCCTTCCGGAACGCCCATCCGTTCTTGATCATTCTAGCAGTTTTAACTTTTAAAACCAACAGATCTTGTGTCGAAATAAACTGCCGTTCAAAAGCCGAGATTCTCACCCGCTGGATGTACCCCATTCTTATGCATTCATGCCCATGTATCTGCCTCTAATATCATTCGCCTGTCGATGTATAAGCGGATGATGACGGCAAGCTGAGAAATATGTCTACAAATGTCCAGAAGGAGAGAGTTTGCGCGCAAGTTAGCTGAATTATCGACAGTAAATCAATACTCATTCTGGCAAGCAGCACAAATTAGTGAGTATGAACCCGAAAAACCTTCATGATCGTTGCCCCTGGATGTGAGCAATCAGAAAGTTTGTATGGTTCAAGGCCTGGGGACGTGATGACTAGATGGTCTAATATGATTCTCGTTTCACGCGGATTGGACAAACACTGCGTTATCAGGCGTCATTTGCGTGGGATTGGTCCGGGGAAACGAAAAAGTAGCCTCGATACAGATGAAATCCGTGATGCGTGCTGCATAGCTAACTGGTTCGAAAAGTTGACCTAAAAGGTTGCACTAGAAACATTCGGACCTCGTATACCTTGAATCGAGGCAAGTTATGGCGAGATAGTGAGATGAAAATCTCCCTCCCTATTGCAGCCTCGTAAAGACGGGCGATATCTCACCCAGCTTCGAGCAACCATTCGTCCTCAGACTTCTTCTTCATTTGCCATAATGACACATGCCTCCCATGAGCCTCGCCTTTTTTCACAGTTAGAGTAAGGATCTGTAATATCTTAGGCCCTCGTCTGAATTGATACTGCAGCGATTGATTTCTCGCTGGTTAATTCTTTTTTGGCGGGACGCCTACTAACTAGCTGACTTGTGTCAATCAAGAGCTCTGGCTACCGGCATGCCTCGGTATTTTATTAAGGAACGGAGGTCGCATGGTTTCATTATCGGGAGATTGTCACTGTCCATGTTAGGTGCAACTATCAATTGATATTGTTCATGTTAGCTTAGCCTGTGATTTCCTTGGCAGTAGAATCTTAAGGCTGTGAGCGCACTCTTCACTTACAGCAAGGGATGCGTCTCCGGGGCTTGGACGTCTCCAGTCTCTAAGGTTCATCCTGATTATCAGGGTGTGATCGCTTTTTTCGCGACATATTTCGGATAGAAAATGCTGAACTCCTTAGGTTTTATCTCGGGAATAATGAAGAGTCATTGTGTGGCACGATTTAAACAGAGCACGGTCGATGTAGACTGAAGAATATATAGTTGCACCGCACTACTGACGCTGTTTATGGCAGTAGTTTTTGATGATCAATTGACAAAATTAGATTAAACATTGTGAGAAGAAATAAGTAACATATATACTGATAGTAACATGACTCGCACAAATATTCGTGAATACCAATGAATGCATGAATGAAGACAGAAACGGAAGATGGCTTGGAGATGAACAGACGGAAGATACCGACATGCCTAAAGCCACGACCCCGTGCAAAAACACCACGCACCATCACGAAATTCACCCACCGCCTTTCTAAACAAGATGGCAGATGCAAAGTCGCTCCAAACCAACCGACCAGCGAGCGCCAGCCAATTCCACAATCCATCCTCCGCCCGATTGACGCTCCCATCTCAGACACGATAAACACCTACGTCATGCCGTATCTTCCCACCCCCCAGGCCTACCTGGAACAATCCGCCTTGTTACTCGAAGCATACCCGGACACCGTACGTTCTTACCTATCCTCCCCAAGAAGGACCAACCAACCAGCCAGCCAGCCATCCAGGACACGAGCCAGATTTACTAACCAGCAATTCTAGACCCGAATCACAACGAAATACAGCTTCCCTTCACACAAACCTAAATCCAAACCTACATCCACGACAGACTCTGCCCCCACCGATCCCCAATCCCAACCTCAGACCTCGACGACGCCAGTTGCCACGCTGACGTTGAAAACATTCAACCCCTCGGCGGGCCTCTGTCTGAAGTATCGCACCAACAAGGCTGCCGAGGTCGGTCGCTTGATCACAAGTCTGGGGAAGCTGGCCGGGGGCGCAGATGTTGCTAGTTTGGGTCTCGGCGCTGCTGTTGCTCCGGCCGCTGACGTTGAGATGGCAGATGCTCCTGAGGATGGGACTGCTACGCTGACGGCGGCCGCCGCTGCCGCACCTGCGGCCAAGACCGAGTCGAATAACAAGGGTGGGAAATCGAAGAAGAAGGGTGGTAAGGGTAAGAGGTGAGGGGGGAGGCTTCTTTCACGCACGCACATACGGATATGATATCGGTCATTTTTTTGCGGTGATGGCATTCGGGAGCATAATGCTTGAGCGTGGATATTGACGCGCCTTGACCCTTGAGTCTCCGGTTACGCACAACTGGACGGGATACAGATACCACACAATGGCTTTAGTGATCGGCATATCTCAGGGCTGGGTGGTCGGGAGTGGGAAAAAGTGCGCCAACGTCGTCTATCTTCTCTATCTTTGCTTGTTTTTTCTCTTACCGTTCAGTTCGACGGACTGTGTGGGCGGGACTGGACTGCCTTTCTCCCTCTGATGACCTGGATACACCTAGGAGCCAACATTTAGTAGATGACACTTAATGATATGTCTTGTATATAAAAACAAAATTATTCCTCAATATGAAAGGATTGAAGCAAGTCAGCTGCCTCTGCAATGGATTCAAAGGCTGTAGGAAAAAGAGTATTCATAAATCACTTTATTCTAGACTATTCAAACAAGAAATGCAAATATCCAACTCGAATGTACAATGATATCCTATTCATTTAAATACAGTCCACCATTCATTGCATTCCATACAAGGACGTATCGAATGTGATGAGACATTAATACGTTCAATAGTTCCCGCCTTTCAAACGCCAGACCCATGCGCATCCCTCGAAAACCTCATAAATCAGTAGCACCGCAGCAAAAAGAACGAGAAAACAAAACAAGGGGTAATAAAACAGAAGGAAAACAAATTAGCTCGTATCCAATGGCCGTCCACCAGGCCGGGTATAATCGTGTAACATCAGTCTAAAAGTCCTCGTCGAACGAGAGACCACCGTTACCGGTCTTGGTCTCGTCCTGGGCGGCATCCTTCTTGGTGCTTGCCATCACACCGGCCTTCTGGTAGTCACCAACACGCTTCTCGAAGAAGTTGGTCTTGCCAGCCAGGGAGATCGACTCCATGAAGTCGAAGGGGTTGGTGGCGTTGAAGTACTTCGAGTTGCCGAGGGCCACCAGGAGACGGTCAGCCACGAACTCGATGTACTGGCACATCAGGTTGGAGTTCATGCCAAGAAGGGCGCAGGGAAGGGCGTCGGTCAAGAACTCCTTCTCAATAGAGACAGCCTCGACGATAATGTCCTCCACAACCTGCTTGCTGGGGCGGTTGTTGAGGTGAGAAAACAACAAGCAGGCGAAGTCAGTGTGGAGACCCTCGTCACGAGAGATCAGCTCGTTGGAGAAAGTGAGACCAGGCATCAGGCCACGCTTCTTCAGCCAGAAGATGGAGGCGAAGGATCCAGAGAAGAAGATACCCTCAACGGCGGCGAAAGCGACGAGACGAGAGCCGAAGGTCGACTGCTGGTCATTAATCCATCGGATGGCCCATTCGGCCTTCCTTTTGATGCAGGGAACTTTTGGAATATGTTAGCAATCCGTGTATTGTTAATGCGGGGCGATCACACGTACTGGTATCAATAGCATCGAAGAGGTAGGTGCGCTGCTTGGGCTCCTTGATGTAGGTGTCGATCAAAAGAGAGTAGGTTTCCGAGTGGATGTTCTCAATCATGATCTGGAATCCATAGAAACAGCGAGCCTCGGGAACCTGCACCTCTCCGCTGAAGCGCTCTAGTAGGTTCTCGTTGACAATGCCGTCCGAGGCGGCGAAGAAGGCAAGAACGTGAGAGATGAAGTAACGCTCATCCTCGTTCAGGCGGTTGTTCCAGTCGTGCAGATCCTTCGACAGATCAATTTCTTCGGCGGTCCAGAAGGAGGCCTCGGCCTTCTTGTACATTTGCCAGATCTAATGGGAGGAGACGACAGGTTAGCGGAGATTGTTTGATAGTGGGGGTGATTCATGGACCATTCGGATGGGTGCGGGAAAAATCAATTTACGCGTGACGCGTATGGGACGTGTCGACTTACCTCATGGTACTTGATTGGGAAGAGGACGAAACGGTTGGGGTTTTCTTGAAGCAAAGGTTCCTGAGCCTCCATCTCCTTGATAGCAGCAACAATCGAGGTTTCGGTAGGCTGTTCCGCCACAGGCTTGGTGGCGGTCACGTCGACGGCGGGAGTGGACGAAGGCACGTTCTCCTTGCCAACAGATTCGAAGTCGAGCTTCTTGACGGGCGAGTCATTCATCTTGAGGTTCTCAAGAGAGGAAGCAGCCTATTGAAAGGTACATTGTTAGCTTGAACACGGCCAGAGACGCGTCGACCGCGAGAGGCGACATATGACTTCACGTACCTGCTTGGAGGGAGTGAACTGTGTAGACATGGTGGACAGTGTCTGAAGGGTTTATAGAATGCAAAGGGCAGACGAATTGATCACACTGACACAGAGGCACGCCAGACTTTGAAGCAGGGAGAATGGGATGAAGAAAGAATGGGCAGATGGAGAGGGCGAACCGGGCGAAGAAATACTTGCTTGGGACGAGGAGCGCGGTCACTAGCGCGACGGGCTAAGTCACGCTGCACGTGATTTGGCGCGCCTCTGGCTGGCGGAGTCTCCCTGCTGCCGGTCGCGTCTCACGCTTCTCCCCGGCAGGACAACAACATCGTCTATTGGGTCAGAGCCTCAGACCACTGCTGTTTCCTCCCATCCGGTGTTTGGATTCCCCACTGCAAGATCAAACTTCTCAAGTATGTGCCTAATCCCCACATACGACCTGGATTCCCAGCGAGGGTGTTGCCGAGTGCACCGGAGTATGTCGCGTCGCCCAGCAGAGGCCATTTAATCTTATCTGATGAGATTTCATCTCTCCCTGCGCCGTCGATCTAACTCGGCCTACCCATGGACGATGACTCCCTGGTAGGTTTGATGTTTAGTGCACTCAACAATTATTCTAGATAGTGTGAACGCGTGGTGCAGGTCTTGGTGTGTTACCGTGTTACCTGTGACCGTTCCTATTGCACTTCGTATTCTATCGCTATGGAGTGAGTACACGCGCCTCCTGGAGACTCTGGAGCCCTTCACCTACTAGTCAGAAAAGTCCTCAGTAATAAGATCTCCAACCTGACAAATGAAACCTATCCACTCACCTCCACCGCGATGGCCCAGAATGGAGGTTTGATAATGATCGAATAAGCTAGTGTTCCTCCGACGGAACACAGAGCCTTGCCCTTGCAGCACGCGACGCGACGGGTAGAGTGGCTCCTTCTGCCTATTCCAGGCACCCACCTCGGATTTACGGGTTTAATCTCTCAGGGATTTCTTGCGGCTGACGTTTAGCGTCTGGGCCTGGGCTCCTCTGTGGAGTCTATATTCGTTTCGTTTCTCTTCTTCCAGATCCGCGGTCGATGATGACATCGTAAACAGAGACGCGTCGGTGTGGAATTGAGCGTGTATTGAGGCCTGACTCCAGAGTTGTATCTTTCTGTGCGGGTGTCTGTTTTTCTCATATCCCCTTGGGTCTTTCAAAGGAGTGTAGACACATTCTTTTTTGCGATTGACCTAAGTCAATTGTGAAGTGTCATGTTAAACGCACCATACCCCACGCGACAGATTTCTCTACCCCTGGAACGCGATGCAGCGCCCTGGATTCTCAGATTGCTAGGTCCAATATTATATGCACAGGTTGCAGGTCATATCATGCAGTCTAAATGTAGTATTCTTTCCTATGTACAAAATTCTCTATAGTGATGTGACGACACAACCCAAGTTCAAACGCCTCGTATGTACCATTGTCCGGGTATTCGACTAGCCAAAGACCAAATCAAGGACTTCACCCTCTCTTATACATGCTATGGAAATCCCGTCCTGTTCGTTTATATACGTGACTTCATATCGTCGGAGAGAACTCGGTCCTCGACCTTCCGCATAAATCGGTTGGTTTGTTCGGCAAGGGAGAGGGTCAAAATCTGCAACTACAGTCAGTCATCGGTTCGGGATGGGCTGTTTGAGTCGGGGATAGCTCACAGTGTGGGGTAGAATACGGGCCAAGTGAGCGAAATAGCCCTTGTAAATGGCAAGCAGACCCTCCGTACGGATAGTCTTGTACAAGCAATCGAAAACGCCCTTGTACAGGTTACCGGTCTGGTTATACATTCGGGACATGATGGTATCTAAGAAAACAACACTGATTAGCAGGACGGTTCGCTTTCAAGAAGCATCGTAGAGCATACCTGGGGGGTGCATGACACAGCAGACGACAAATCCGGAGGCCGTGCTGCTGGCCAAGTGAAGAGCCGGGCCTTCTTCCATGCCCAAGTGCCGCGTGAGACGTCGTTTGGCAAAGAAGTAGGTCGGCAACTGCACAGAGCTACCGAATCCGGTCCGCACCATGGCTGCGCCTACGCCTCGGTACAGTCCATTCACACCCTCGGTAGTGTAGATCTTGCGCAGACCGTCGAATGAGTTGCGGTAGTTGTGCTGCGTGCCGACGGGGAGGAACGGAGAGTAGGACTGGAGACGAGTCTTGACCAAGAAGAATGGCGAGCCGGCGGCAGCACCAATGATACCCGACGAAGCGCCGGCAAGAACATTGATACCCAGGGACTGGACTTGCGGGTCCTTGTAGATGGCCGAGGTGAGCGTCGTACGCACGGGTTCATAGAACCCTAGACGGCAGCCGTTGAGCAGGATTTGATATATATACTAGGTTCGATCGGTCAGCCACCAACCTGCCACTATGCGCATTCATGACATACAGCAACACCAATGCCCCTAAATAACCCCTTGGGGCCCTCGTTTTGTAGGATAACCTTGACGGCGTGCCCCACACCTCTGTATTTTTTGGCCGCATCGGCCTTTGCTTGCAATTCACCCTGTAGTTGTAGGCTGCCAATGATACAATCGTCAGACGAGGAAGGCGAACAATGGTATGCGCTCAGTGATAGAGTATTTCGCACCGAATCTTCACCGTTTCAAAACTGTGGGTGACTGTGACCGCACCGCATGCTGCAATTCCGCCCGCAATGAATGCTCTGTAGGTGACAACCGGGTTAGCCAAATTTCTTCCCTGATCTATGCTTCGTTGTCGAATCTTACCCTGTGGTGGTAGACATGGTTTATCGAACGAAAGCCCCGGTCAACGGCGGAAAGCGCAAAATCGTCGGCGACAGAGGAGGATTAACTTCAATGGACAGAAACAAAATACAGTAGAGTGGAGAGTGTCGCAAATGAATGGCCTAGCCCTGACCGACTGTTGAAAGAGGGTGGTCCAACTGTACAAAGAGAATGAAGAGTCAGATCGGAGGTGTAAGAAGTAGCATTTCCTCGTAAGCTTGCGCTGAGTGATCTGGCTAAGCTTCGCCGATTGGATTCCACGGGCGGTGATTGGTCATACCTCCGACGTCGGGCGGTCAACCGAGTCTAGCCGTCGGAGCGGATCATCCCCTCGGCCGATCCCGGTCGGCCCTGGTCTTGGCCCGATGAGGCTAGACCATGTCAAACGCGTGAATTGGAATTAGGCAGATCGCGTTTGCCTCATTCTGCCGTTCATACCTAGAAGCTTCCCTCCTTCACTACGGAGGAACTTCCCGGGCATAGTCATCGAGAAGACTTATAAGCTTCACTTCAGCTTCACTAGATATAGGCTTCTTTGACTTATGCAACCCTCGCTCTTTCGCTGTATCCTTTAATTTAGTCAGTCATGGGGGACAGCCAGCCGCCAGGTCAGGCAGCGTCGCAGCCGTCTCAGCAGCCTCAGGCTCCCCAACAGCTACAGACGCAGAAGGTGTCGGACATTATTCGTAGCTTTCGTCCCAACAGGGTTTGTACACGGCTCTTTTTGCTTGTCATGTCCTTAGCCGAGCTGGACTGATGATTTTCAGGCCTTCAATCGACAGAAACCAGAAAGCTCCAAATATGTAACCTCTCTTGATTTCGACGACCAGGGCGAACACCTGGTGGCATCCGGGGATGACGAAACCATCCAAATCTTCGATATCAAAGAGGGCAAAATGACCAAGTCGGTTCCCAGCAAGAAGTACGGTGCCCACCTGGCCAGGTTCACACACCATTCGCGTCAGGTTCTTCATGCTAGCACAAAGGTCGACGGTATGTTCCACATGCCACACTGTCCACAGTTTGCTTCCTATGTTATTGTTCTCTACTAATGCTGCTTAAGACTCCTTGAGATTGCTCAATCTCCACAATGAGGGATATGTCCGCTACTTTTCCGGTCATACGGATAAGGTGACCTCTCTGGCCGTCTCTCCTGGCAGCGACTCCTTCATCTCTTGTTCCAAAGACGACACCATTGCGGTCTGGGACCTGAACTCGAGGAACATGCAAGGAAAACTGAAGCTTGCCACTCCATATCTTGTGGCGTTTGACCCTTCTGCCTCTGTCATTGCGATCGCTACGCAGTCCACGTCCTCGATCCTCCTCTATGACTTCCGCAATTATGACAAGGCTCCGTTCTCGACTTTTGATCTGGCCCCCTACGAGGAGAGATACACTCCATCCACCCGTGGAAGGGCCTGGACCCGTCTTGAATTTTCTAACGACGGCAAGTACCTGCTTGTTGGAACTGATTACCACGGCCACTTCGTTCTCGATGCATTCGAGGGCACCATCAAGGCTTTCTTGGTTGGCAAAAACGGCTCACCTGGTAGAGCGGCCCCGGTTTCGACTACAGGCAAGCCTCTCGGACAGGGCGACGCTTGCTTTTCACCTGACGGTCGCTTTGTGTTCGGAGGTTCGGGCGATCAGCACGACGTTCTTGTCTGGGACACGCAGCAGTCTCCCGATGCCAATGGCCTGTTGCAGCCAGCATGCAGATTACCCAATCGCGGCCGGACCGCTGTGATTGAGTACAATCCCAGATACAATTTCTTCGCTTCTGCCGATAAAGAATTGACCTTTTGGCTTCCGGATAACAGCTACCAGCCATCCGAGAAGTAAACAGGGTTTAACTTAGGGCACCAACTTGCGAACCGCGGTAATCTCAAATCTTGTTTTCGCTCGCCATGCGGATTGTTCGATGTTGCCTATAACTTGCACTATCCATTATTGAGAAACGACCCCTCCATCTCCGCCGTACGGGATGCCTTTTCTATGATTGAACTCAGGGAACCATTTCTTAGTCTTTTCGGCCCCTTTCTTTACCCACTAAACTCCTGGCCGTGTCACAGACCCATATCTGCGGTCCCTCCAGATTTTCATCGCCGTTCCTTTGCTTTTCCACTGTGGCTTCGATCTGCTTGACCACTGTTCGATTACTGGATATCGTTGTCATTCCGGTGGCCCACCCGTACAAGAAGACGCTATAGTTGATATCGGACAGTATGTCAGATACCTGGTGGGCTACCGGAGGCAATTGGCCGTTGTTTTTCGCCGCGTCTATCACAGTATTGGCATCCACTATGTTTATCGGCAGCTTCCAATGTGGTGGGATTTCATAGTCCGAAAGTTGTTGGAGGTCATGAATAAGGGCCTTTGCGTCGCGGTCGTTGAATGGCGGATCGGCCATCACAATCTCTGCCCGTCTCTTTTCGGTATCGGTGCCAATCACGTCGACAATATCACGCATCCGTTTAGCCGCCTCGCTGGTACACACCAACTCGTGCGCGCCCATGGCGGGCCAAAGCTCTGTGGTAAGCAATGGCCGCTGGCTTTCCACTTCGAGCTGGCGCAGGATGGCTCTATGGAGTGACGGAGACGGGGGTATCTTCTTGAAATATGACACATCTGAAACGATTGCAAGCAACAGTGTACAATCCACATTCAATAGGGACGTAAACCGTTTGAACGGGGTAGGCAGAAGTCGACGGAGATCTTTCGCAAGCACATCTTCAGGGTTGGTCTCTTCTTCTGAAGACGACCCCAGACTGCCCTCCCCGCAATCCACTACGACTCCATGGCTCCGTATTACCTTCAGCAAATTGTCGATTTCCGGACTTTCCCCTTCCTCGATCTTCGGAATCACCATGCGTAGCCGAGGATGCTTGTAGTTCACCCTTGTAACGTTGGCAGCCTTCCTCATGTCCCCAGCCAACTTGACCAATTCGATCTCATCCTCGTCATCATCGTCACTGTCACGGCCCGCACCGTCGTTGAAATTCTGCAAGATCGTCCGTCCTCCTTCGCCCTCTTCCCCATCGGACCCGTCTTCCGAATCAGCCTCCCACCCCTTCTTCGCCATCTCAAACAATAGCCTCGTCTCCGAGATCGTCGACACCTTCACCCACTCCTCCCCATCATCCGCCACGATATCCACATAGACACTCTTCCGTTTATCCTTGCCCCCGTTGCCCTTGCCCTTGGTTTGAGCTTTGGCATTGGTCTTGTCTTTCCCCTCTATCTCGCCTCCCTCCTTGCTCTCGCCATCCCAATAGAACCGCTTCCCAAACGCGACAAGCCCCGAACACGACCTCTTCGCTATCGTCCACACCGTCTCGTAGAACGGCAAATTCGAGGATCGCAGCGCGTGCAGGAGCCATTTCTGGATCTCGGCGTCGGCGTCGGCGTCGACGTTGTCGTCATCGTGTGCGTCCGCGTTCGCGCTGGCCACGCGAACCCGATCCGTCAATTTCTCGAGCGTGCGGAGTTCCGAGAGGACGTTTGAGCGAAGAGATCGGGCCTCGACGATTTGGGGGTTTCGTTGCGTAGAGGCGACTAAGGATTGGAAGGCGTCGAGCTCGGAGAGGAGTGTGTTGCAGCGGGTGATGAGCGAGGTTGTGAGTTCGGGTGGTGAGGTGGGTGGTGGGGGTGGAGGATCGGTCGTGTTTGACATTGTTGGGTTGGTTGGTGGTGGGGTTTGGTTGGATGGATATATATATATATTAGAGAGGGGGGATGTAGAGAGAGGAGGGAGGGGGAGGGATTGAGGGAAGTAGAAGAGGAAGAAATAGGTTAGAGTGAAGTATGGAATGGTGCTTGTAGGTTTGTTGTTGGTATGATCACAAACAGAAAGACCTCTGGTCTGGTCTTTCTACATTCCCCACTGACAGCCTTGAGTCATCATTCCAGGTCATGATTTAAACCTAAATGGGTAAGAATGCGCCTGACAGATTCTAGTACCTTCGTAATTACTCAATGAACAGCCTAGTCTTCCTAAATCTAGTGTCGTTAAACATGTAAGGCAGGCGACGGATATTGCGAAAATTTACATTATGAGAGCGGCACTTCATCTCTCGTCATCTAAAAGGATCTGCGTAGCTAGAGAACATAAAAACGAAAGATACAACACAAAAAGCCAACAGGCCGAACGCCTTTCCGATGCCTGTCTGCCAAGGTTGACAGAGAAAGCAGTTCAATTCCTCCGCTTCATTGAGAATGGGGTTCGGTGGCCCTCAGGTATCAGTACAAAGTGATGTAGGCGTTGCAACCATGACGTGGTGTCATCCACCACCAATAGGAAATCATTCTGTGGCATAGGAGGAAAATCAAGCTTTTAATCCCTGTCCTTGCCGGTGAGTCGTTGGTGCTCGCCGGAGTTCTTTGGTGATTCATCCTCGTCATCCGTCCATTTGTCGCCATCTTCACCGACAGCGAAAATCGTCTCTCCGTCCAAAGACTCCCGTTGGCGCGGGGCAGAAGGAACGGGCTTGGGAGGAACAGGCGAGAGGTCACGGCGCTGCTCAGACGGATGCTGTTCGGTGTCAGCAAGAACGTCTTCCTCATCCAACGCGCTACCGAAGGACCGAATCTCGAAGCCGTCGTCGTCTTGGGCAAGCTGGCCAAGTCGTCAGTATGAGCTGTGAAAATAAGAGTTTCTGTACGTACCTCGTCACTCATGGCGAATCGTCGGTTGTTGGCGGTAGGTCGCCACAGATAGGCAACGAAGCCAATGTCGAACAGGTAGACGAGGTTGAGCCAGCCGTCCAGCACAAACCATCGAGTCTTCCAGTGGTCCGGCACGAAGCTCGCCTCGCTGCGACCAGCAAAGACGATCGAGTTGATGAAGAAGAACCCGAAGATCACCATAATGCTACCCAGAATGCACCACCACAGCTTCTTGTACATCATAGCTTTCACCTTCTGCTTTCGGTCAACCAGGTCCTTCATGGTGGCATTCAACGAGTTCAACGTCCACACATAGAAGGCAGTCAATGTACCGGCGAGCGGAAGCACAATCAGAAGGACAAGGGGTCCAGCACTGTCGGGCGTAATCGATAGACTTGCTACAGCATAGATCACGGCGAAAACAAAGTGGGTTATAGCGAGGATGCGGACATAAACCATGGTGCGGCCGAGGGAGGGCTTGACAACACCATAGCCCATACAGACGATCAAAAGGAGGAAGAATGAGAAGGCGTTTCTTCCGGCATTGAGGACTGCAACAATGACCATCAGTGCTTTTGCACCCATATTTAGACCATTCCTATTTTGATAATCTGGGAGCGGTTAGTGGATCGAAATGCGGTTATGATTTCAGACGATGACCTACCGTAGAAGCCCCAAGTCATCAACTGTTCGACGATCAAGAAGACCAAGATAGCGGTTATGTAGTTCTGCACGGGCACTGTCGGGGGTTAGAGTCTTTCTAAACACAACATTGGGGGTTATCGCTCACAAATATCGTGTCGGTTTTGCACATATAGGAAAGCCCAGAAACTGTCTCACATCAGTACATATCTTCGATGAGCGAGTGGCAAAGCGAGAATCCATACATTCCAACCACAGCGTAGACAATGGTAAGGCCGCCATAGAATGGTAGTTTGGCGATTTGCGCAGCCGGAAGTTCTCCATACGCATTCCTAAACTCGACCACCGCTTTATAGTCCTTTCCAGAGAATCCATACGTGCTCACGCAGTAGAAGCCAGTTTTCTTTATCGGATAATTGATCGGTTCCGGTTTATTCAAGTTTATCGCTTTGGACATGATCGGGAATAGGGAGGCGTCGGTCGCGTTGGCGGCGAGGATAAAGGAGCCGATTTCTTCTTCTTTACATAGCTTCGCTCGTACACTAGCTTCATCGCAGATTGTCTCTTTCTCCTACAATGCACTTATAAGCGAAATCGGAAGTCAATCGTAGGTTGTTCGGAGCGTACCTCGGCGTCGTCCGACACCAACCTCCCAATCAAAGCCTCATCGCTCCATTCAAAGATTACCATACTGACGAGGCCATCGCTATCGCCGGCCGACTCAGAGACGAACTTGGTCAATATGAAAGGATCAACCTGTCCGCCCCAAGCCTTGCGGCTGTACATCCCCGAGCACCGTTGCCGATGGGCTTCATCTTGTGTCTGAAAAGCACGCAACGGTTAGACAATCTAACGGTTAGTCTCTCAGGGTATGTCGGCGCACCAATTCAATTTCATTTGCAAGCGCTCGTCCTGCCAGCAGGGCAGTTAAGCCCAGAGTCTGGAGCCAGCCCTTCATCGTGATCGTGAAATAGGAGCTAACCAGGTGCTACCAGGTAGGCTCCGGAGTTACCGAGCGCGAGAAGGATTGTTCACCGGACCAGGGTCATAAGAAGGATAAGAGAGGATAAGGAATAAGAAGATATCACGATAGCGAGTTAAGAAAAATATCCAACGACCACGGTATAAATCGATGCCGTGAGCCGATATGCGTCAGCCTGTCACTTTCGGAGGAGCAGTCGTGGCTACAAACCGGGGAAGCCGCGTGTTGACTGTCCCGCCAGGAATTATCTAAGCCCGTCGTCGCACCGCCGAGAGAATTCTGCCTTGGCTTCTTTTCTTCACCGACCTCGATGCTTTTTGCGCCACAACTTTATGCGCCAGGGAAAGGAAGGATTTGAAAAATCAAAGAAAGATGCCCGGAATGGAATTGTTAGATCCTTGCTTGGACTGTCGCGAGGTCGAGTCCACTTTGACCCTCCGCAAACGTCGAGTATGCATGTGCGTTCCTCCGTCGACCTACTCCGGAAGTGGGGTGAAAGAACTGACAATAGACATTTTCTTCGGTTTTAAACAGAGATTGCTATAAACGAGTCGTCGGTTACAAGGTGTTTCGGCGCACGGAGAAATATCGTCTACGGAGGGATCTTCCAAAAACTGGAGAATACAAAATCCTGGTTCCCCTCTCTTACGGCCTCTCCTCGTCAGTTCTGCTGCATTTGCTACACGACCAAGTGCGAGTTCAGCGCTCCAAATCCCACCCACCACCAGGATTCGATCTCCACGTGCTCATCATAGACCCCTCGACTATCTCCTCGTCGGAGCCGGCGCATGATGAGGGCTTCGATCTGGCGCAAAAGCTCTTCCCGCTTTGCACTTTTACCCGAATCCCCTTCCACGATATATTCGAACATGTCCCCGATATGCAGCAGACGATGGCTCAGTTCGCCAGCGCGAAATTTACGGATAATCCCTCTCTATCGCATAAGGAGCGCCTGAATGCGTTCCGGTCCTCGATCGACTCCGCCACATCGAAGGCTGACGTGGACGGTGCCCTCATGAACAGACTTATTGTTGCTATCGCGAATGAAGTTGGCGCGAAGACTATCCTATGGGGAGATTCAGATACTACGCTTGCCGCGAAGACTCTCGCAAACGTCGCGAAAGGACGTGGCTCTTCGTTGACATGGCAAGTATCGGACGGCATGTCTCCCTCTGGGTTGGAATTCAACTTCGCTTTGCGCGACTTGTTCACGGTCGAACTGCGTAATTACGCCAGCTTCTTCCCAGAGCTGTCCCGGATGATCCTGCCAGATGAACCGCCGTCCGAAAACACACTAACAAAGAACCTGTCTATTGATGAGTTGATGATGCGATATGTCCAAACTCAGGGTGAAAAATATCCTGGCGTAATGTTGAATGTGACCAGGACTGCAAACAAACTTCAAGCCTCTGAAGGACCAGCCGAAAAGTCCCAGTGCACCTTCTGCGGCAGCTCCATATGGGGCGCTGAAGATAGACCTACTTCCACCGAGGACCAAACCCCCGAGTTTTGCTACGCATGTGCTCGGTCTCGCCCTGATATCAGCTGCTAAATGAACCTCGAATCGCTTTCTGCTGAATTTCAGGGAAAGAAGTGGTATGATCATTAAATACACGCATCGGTGTCAACTCCTAGATATCTCATAAAGTGGGGTATACTCATATCAAAGAAAACTCATCATCATCTAACGTCTTGTGTTATCAACGACGCCGGTTTCCAGGTCATCATCCGGAGGAGCCGATCCTCCAAACCATCTGCGCTCCTGTCGGTTGCTTTGCGCATGCCTGGCTGGTTGAGGTCTGACCGGACTCTTTGTCTTCTTGCTGCGCGACCGACTCGCGTGTCTGGACGGACGACCGTCGGCCATGTTCTCGTCATACCTGTCGAATTCGTCTGGCAGACTGTAATCCACGTCGGGATCCTCGTTATTATGTTTCCGTCTCTTGGCAATTGTCTTGGCCCCCTTTTCTCTCAGATACTTCTCCAGAATTACGGCGTTTCTGGTATTGCATTTGTACATGGCGTCTGCGAGGTCTCCAACGAACGGGACAAGACCGATGACAAAGTCAAAGATGATATTCATGGTCATCTTCGTCCGCAGTGATCCAGGAAGCCCGCCGTCGATATTCTCGCAGCTCTTCAGGACCATCAGTGCGAAAAAGGTATCGAGGATGTCTCCGGCACTACAAGCATGGTTAGTGTCGGGATCATATCGGAGATAGTCTCAGTCAAAACCTACATTGGAATCAAAGCAATTACGCTGCCCCAGCCAAACCGGATGCCACACAAACTGAACAGGCACAAATCTAGTCTGTAGGCTCGACGTTTGACTTGGGTCAACACATGCTCATCGTTCTTGGACAGGCCGGGTGGGATGGCTTTGCACCGCTTTTGAGTCTTTTTGCCAAATGCACGAGACAGACGTGAGGCAGGGACTTCTTCAAAGTAGGGGTCCTGACCAAGCAAGATTCGTTAGCTGCTGCGAACAGGGGTAAACAACCATGAACAGAAAGCTTACCTCTTGTCCAAAATGATTCCTTGCGGACTCTGCCAAAACCCTCTTCCCCACCAAAGACATGAGCGGACCCGACATGGTTGTCCAGCTGTGTAAATAGGTCTTTGGATCACAATAAAGGAGAGGAAGTATTTGCGATGGAGGAACTTCTCTCGAGAGGTGACAAAAAAAAGAAGCACAAATAAGAGTAAACTAAAGTCAGGTCATCCGACAAGTGACAAGGTATCACGAGTCGAGTTTAGTCTAGGCGCTTGGCCTGCGTCGGTTCAGTAGTAAACACACCGCGGAAGGGGAATTCCGAGAGAGGAATGAAGAAGATGTGGCACAGTTGCAGCGGAAGAATGAAAAAGGGGTAAACCGGCTTTTTTAAACCGCGGAGCATGCGTCAACCGTGTAACACCTAACAAATGATCATCCCTCGATTGCGAGGAAAGAAACCTGCCCATTGACCCGACGTCATTCCAGTTGCTTATCATTTCCCGGTTCCCACCGCATGACGTTACATAATCCACTTGCTGCCCAAGTGGCTTGGTCCGTGAGTCACCAGCCACAGTTGCCACAGCTGTGGCACAGACACCGGCATCGGCACCCTGTGGCTTTCTCGATTGACTGCGCCACAGGCAATCACTGGTTCGGCGGCTGCCATTCCAGGTCGGCTCGGCTCAGCTCAGCTTCTCTTCCAATTCCCCAGAAGAGTTGACTCGCTCTCAACTCCCTTGCTCTCGTTTGCTAGTACTCATAGCCTCTTTCGCCGATAGACAAACCGTCGGTTTGCTCGCCTATCACTATTGTTTTCATTTTACTTCTCAGCCACGGCTCGCTTCAGGTTGGCGCTTCTGCCAAGCACCCTTCCTGGAAGCTGCATCATCACTGCGCTGTCCCCTCCAAGCGCGCGCTCGCTCTCTGCCTTCTGCTCCAACGCTCCTGATCTCAGGGGCGCTTTGCTCAACACCCGGCTACGTTGAAATGCTAGAGTACGTCGGACAGTATGACCGAAACAAAAATGCAGTTGGAAGATTGTATGTTTTTGCAGCTCCCCTTTGTTGGCTCCTTTCCCCTCCCTCGGTTATGCCGGAGTCCTCGCCCACGAAACGAACGCCTGATAGCGTGATACTAACCATGCTTCGACTTGACCAGGGCTGGATGACTTATGCGTCCGGTTTATCATTAACTTACCTCGTGAAGAGTTGGAATCCGTCGAACGGATATGTTTCCAAGTGGAAGAAGCGCAATGGTTTTACGAGGACTTTATCCGGCCGTTGGATCCGGCTCTTCCCTCGCTGTCGCTCAAGGCGTTTGCGCTGAGGATTTTTCAACATTGTCCGCTCATGTCGCAATGGTCTCATTATCACCACATCACCGCGTTCTCGGAATTCTTGGCCTATAAAACCCGTGTTCCCGTCCGCGGAGCCATCATGCTGAACTCGGACATGGATGAGGTCGTGCTGGTCAAGGGCTGGAAGAAGGGTGCCAATTGGAGTTTTCCTCGCGGCAAAATCAACAAGGATGAGAAAGACTTGGACTGTGCTATCCGCGAGGTCTACGAGGAGACCGGGTATGACGTTCGCGAAGCCGGGCTGATCAAGGACGATAAGGATGTCAAGTTCATCGAGATCACCATGCGTGAACAGCACATGAGGCTGTATGTCTTCCGAGATGTGCCTCGCGATGCGTACTTCGAGCCTCGTACAAGAAAAGAGATCAGCAAGATCGAGTGGTACAAGTTATCGGAACTACCGACGTTGAAGAGGAGCAAGCAGCAGGATCAAGGATTTGCGGTCGCAAATGCGAACAAGTTCTACATGGTTGCCCCGTTCATGCACCCACTCAAGAAGTGGATCGCCCAGCAGAAGAAACTTGATCCGAAGACTCCTATCGGGATCAAGCAAGTGTTGCAGAATGAAGGGGAGGTCTCGATGGATGAATCCCTCGCTGCTCATCATGATATGACCCCAGTTCAGGCGCCTGTGGAGATGGCTACCCCGAGCATATTGCCCGAGGTCACATCCTCTCAGGATGCTTCGGTTCATTTAAAGCGTCTTTTGAATATCAATGCGGCAGCTATGCCGCAAGGTCCTTCGCTTGTGAAACCACCGCAGACCTCCGGTCCTAACAGCTCAAAGTCAAATGCTCTCTTGGAGCTCCTCAGGAGTGGTTCTTCTCGTGGTCCCGCACTGCAAGCCTACCCAGGTTACGAACAGACATCGCCACCTCACGTTACGGCGGGAGCTGGCCCCGAGCAATATCAGCATTATCCTGCCGCCCCCTTGTTCCCGGGCTTCCCCCAGCAAGATCAACGTCACGGACAACTTGATAACCTGCCACAGCTACCCACTCCGTCACAGCATGGATCCATTCCTCATCTTCCGCCTGGCACTACTCATGTGAACCCACATGTGCCTCCCGGTGTCGTTGCTCAAGGATTCTCCATGAGCCCTCGCGGTCCGCCAGGAGGGCGACATGATATTCCACCTTTCGCACCCCGTCCGCACCCCGCACACAATTATCCCGATGCCGGTTTGCCGCCGATTCTGCCAATGGCGCCTCCTGTCCAGGGTCACGCGTCGGCTCCCTATCAGCGAACTGGAGATCCATTCTCTCAACAAGCTCAGCCTACTCATGTTCAAGGAGCCACTGTGCCTCACGCCAGTAAGCTGCCGCCACCGAAGCTTACAAGTCATTCATTGGCGCTTTTGAATGTGTTCAAGGACGACACGGCGAGAACTCCCAAGACTCCCAAAGCCACTCTGGTATCGACTTCGGAGACGGCACCCGTCAGCGGGCGCAAACCATCACAACACCAGGACCAATTGTTAAATCTGCTCAAAGGCTCGCCCGGCAAACCACCTGCTCCCGGTCCAGTGGAATTGGCAGCTCACTCGGTCTCTCCTTCTCGGAAACAAATTCTTCAACGTCCTCGTGATAATACCAGGTCCCAGGAACCCGCAACCCATGTCTGGGCATCTGCCCCGGCGCCCGGGGCATTCGCTACAAAGCCGTCTGGCAAGAAAGCGCAAAATGGACCGAACCGAAAGACGAACAAGGACAGGAAATCGCAGAACCTTGCTTCGCCTATAACCATATTGCCCAGGCCGCAAAGTGCCAAAAAGGAGCAATCGCCCACGCCAGTTGCAACGACCCAATCTTCGCGGAACTCCTCTCGATCTCGTCCTGACCGGAAGACAAGAACCCCTGAGCCCTCGAAGCCATTCCAGCCCCAAATCCTTCGCCGCTCTGAAAACCTTGACAACATTCTCCCAGTACGAACGAAGGGTACGCCCGACCCAGAACAGGGTGGAACCGGCCAAGAAGCAAAGACTCAAGGGGTGGACGAACGCCGCCCAAGTCATAATGCGTCCCAAAGGGACACCTTGCTCTCGCTTTTCGGCAAAGCAAGTGCTTCTCCTGGACTATCCCCTTCGGGACAACTTAACCTTCAGACAGCCGTCCCTGAACCCTCAGGGAGTTCCTCCGTCGTCAGCCCTCTTTCCCCTCTCAATCTCCCTGCCGGAACTACCACAAACCCCGGGGTATCAAGCTTGGATATCAACACCGGCAGAATTGCGTCGCCTGATAACAAGGCATTTCTATTGGGATTCTTGGAGGGTGTCGCGAAAGGCAACAAATAATCGCACCTTTAATTTGACGGAAATTCTGTTTGTGGAACAATTGTTCATCGGGGCTGGATAGGAGAGGAATAATGTATTCAAATAGCACACGATCACACAATAGCGAGAACTATCACTTTCGTTCTTCGAATGGCAAAGCTTACTTTGTATTACTGTATGGCCTTGATGCGAGTATGTTTAATCGGCTCTTTTAATTTGCCTTTCTATTCCACGGATGGTTAGAAGTTATGATTGAAACTTGGAGTGGGTTGGGATTGTTTGTTATATATCTTGGCTTTTAGACAACATTGGATTCTGGGTTTCCATCAAACACATTTACAACCACGAACTATTCCCATCATTCAATTAGTTAGTAACATTCATTAAATCAATATTAGGTACACTGCTAGCGATCGGTGCGTCCAGTCGGCGCTCACAACGGGGGAATGTGCATCCTTCAGGAAGGTGAGCCACAAGCGGTGAGGTCATAAGAGTCCCCCATGTTCTGCCGATATCCACCGCCCTCTCATCGATGTCATTTGCGCCGTTGATTTGTAAACCCTCCGCCGACAAGCATCCATTTTGTTGATGACCGTCTGGGCGAAAATGATGCGCCCGAACGCTCATTTCAGCACTGTATATGCTCGCTGTCTCAGCCGCGGTCGGCTATTCTCGACAACCGCTCCATCCCGTGTCTCGCAGCAGAGCGATGCCCTGCCTGCCCCCCCGCCGACAACCGGCTATGCGCGACTCACGAACCGGGGCCTGATCTCGATCATGGGCATCGATAGCACGACTTTCCTGCAAGGTCTGATCACACAGAATATGCTTGTCACCAACGATCCGAATCGAGCAACCCGCCACACGGGTTCCTATACTGCCTTCCTTAACTCCACTGGCCGAGTCCTGAACGATGCGTTCCTCTACCCGCTGCCGGAAACCGAAGCGTCTACGTCCGAAGGCCCCGCATGGCTCGTCGAGGTCGACAAGAACGAAGTCGCCAGCCTCATGAAACACCTTAAGAAGCACAAGCTCCGAGCGAAGTTAAAGCTGCGCGCGCTCGACGACGGCGAACGCACGGTCTGGTCGTCGTGGAAGGATCACACGGAGCCCCGATGGGCCGCATATAATCTCGAATCGCCCGCCTCGTCGCCGTTCTCCGCTTCCTCCCCTGTCGCTGGCTGCGTCGATACTCGGGCCCCCGGCTTCGGGTCCCGCATCATCACCCCCGGCGCGGAGGACCTCCGGGCTCATCTCCCGGACGAGACGCACGTGGCGGGCTCGGAGGTCGATTTGCGGTCTTATACGGTGCGACGGATGCTGCATGGCGTGGCGGAGGGACAGTCGGAGATTATTCGCGAGTCGGCGCTCCCTATGGAAAGCAACATGGATATGTCGCGGGCCATCGACTTCCGTAAGGGCTGCTATGTGGGCCAGGAACTCACCATCCGGACCCATCATACTGGCGTGGTGCGGAAGCGCATCTTGCCCGTGCAGCTGTATCCAGCCGACCAAACCGCCACTGAGACTGGCGAACTCCCTGTCTACGATCCTTCCGTTCAGCTGTCACTGCCCCCGAGTGGGTCCAACATATCCAAAGTTAGTGCGCGGAGAGGTCGCAGCGCAGGGAAGTTCCTAGGTGGTATCGGTAATATTGGCCTCGCTTTGTGTCGTCTTGAAATGATGACCGATATCGCGCTCACCGGTGAGGGGACCCAGTATACTCCCGGACAAGAGTTTAAGGTGTCGTGGACGGGGGCGGAGCAAGAATCATCCGAGGCTCAGGAGTCGGGAGAAGTGAAGCTAAAGGCGCTCGTGCCGTCTTGGACCAGGGACTTCATTTTCTCGGGTGGAGTGAGGAACACTTCTCATGATAATCGTGCCAACGAGGGTCATCGGGCCAGAGATTTTGTGGAACAGCTGGGGGAGGAAGAGGAGGCACGACGCCATGAGTGAAGACCTTGATGTTTTATCATACCCTCTTGTGTGTATATAAGCGGCAAAAATAAATTGTATAATAGTCTAGAGAAGCAGATGATGCTTGAGGCAGATAATAGATTTCATGGGTATCATATATTCTAGTTGTGCTTATTCTATACAAAATATTAGAGAAGAACGCCCGGTTTTTGAACCAAACCATTTTTGTACACGCCTTGGAAGAGTTGTCAATCAACTCCGACCTTCGGCAGCCGCTGCCTCTGCTGCCTCTGCGGCCTCATCTTCTTTTCTGAGTTGCTCCTCGAGTGCCTTTCGTTCCTTCTCACGTTGCGCCGTCTTCAGTCGCATCAATGTCACCTCTTCGAGACTAGGGGTATTTTGTCCGTTGGTTTGAGAAGTAGAACTGGGTGCCGATTTTGCCGTGTTGGCCGCTGCCGTAGAGAAGGAAGAAAACGACGGTTTCCCGGGTTTCTTTGCGGCGCCATTGGTGTTGAGTCCTGGGAAATTGAAGCTGGGGTTGGGAGGCGCATTTGCAGACGTTGGTTTAGAAGGAGGCGCTCCGTTTTGCTTTGAGTCAGAGGAAGAGTGTTTGTCCTCGTTCGTGCCTAGATCCGGCTGGTTGCCAGAGGCCCAGTTGACCGAGTCGACGAAGGTCCAGATGCTATCAGACTGGTCGAAACTTTCACGTTTCTTCTTCTCACTGTCCAACACGGCCGCATGTGCGCTGACGATTGACGCGAATATCACCACACCCGTCGCGACGGTCCTCTTTTCCCGCTTCTCTCCAAGACGCTGTCGCTTATCCTTGAGCATGAGGACATTCTCGATCTTTCCGAACGAAGCGAACAGAGATGTCAGGCCCTCCTTGTCAAGATCTAGGCCTGCTCCCTCACGGACCCAACGCGCTTTCACGCCGCGTTCCAACTCCGGCACATTCGCGCCGCCTTCCTGCGACCGATCGACCCGCTCACTGCTCCTATCTTTCGCCCTCTGCGCAGCCTCTTCCTCCTCACGCATCACCCTCTCCTCATCCTCCGCCTCTCGCTTCAACATCTCCTCCACCTCCCGTCGCCTCCGTCGCCCATCCTCCGCTATCCGATCAACCTCGCGCTGCAGCTTCTCCTCCGCATCATCATCATCAACCACCCCCGCCCCCGCCATCCCAAAGGACCTCTTCACGCCCCTCTGCGCCCCCACCCCGCTCGCGCCTGCCCGCTCTCTCGCCTCCAAATCCTCCTTCATCTTCCTCTTCGCGGCATCCATCATGTCCCGCTCGCGCTGCTTGCGCTGCCGCGCCTCCCGCGCATTATCGTAGAGTTGCCGGATCGAGGGCTCCGAGAGGACATCGTACGCGATCTGGAGGAGATGGAACTTGTCGATGTCCGCGGGGGTCGGGTTTGCGATCTTGTCCGGGTGGTATTTTAGGGCGGTGCGGCGGTAGGCGCGTCGGATTTCGTTCTCCGCGGTGGCCGGGGAGATGTCAAGGAGGGCGTAAAAGTCTTGGGTGGAGGCCGCGTGGGCTTTTAGGTCGTCTGTTGAGGCCATCGTGGTATGGTGTTTTTGGTAAGGTGTGGTGTGGTGAGGTGACGGTTGCGACGAGTGCTGGCTACCTAGCTGGGGAGTTTCGATGGGGTTGTGGATGATGTGTCCCGTAAATGTATTGAGATCGGATGGGTAGTGAGAGAATAACGAGGGGTTTTATGAGAGAAAAGGGAAAGGAGAAGAGGTTGTTCGCCCTCGCGGTGTTGGGCTTCGGTTGTTGTCAGAAGAAAAGTAGATTCGAGGGTGGCGGAAGTTCATCGACGTCTTCGGGAGCGGCAAGGCTTTCCCTCTTCCTTACTTTTCTACCACCGCTTTTCTTCCTTCAGAGTGTTCGTGGATTGGCTTTATTATCTTACTTGGCGACCTGTAGAGATTTTGGAAGTTTTTTGTCTTTTCATTCTTTCTAAGACAACTCGTCACGTAATCCAAAACCAGGACCGTCTGACATGCCACAGCTCGATCGGATAGAACTGGTCAATATCATTCTATTCATAATGACTGATACAAAAGAGCAAATTGGTTCACACTACTCTGTCGTCATAATTCCATTTTGAGTGGATTTCTCTCCGTGCAGATACCTCATGAAGAACATTTTATTGAGGGATAACTATGCCATTGTCTATCAGCTATTCATCCACCCTAGGGAGCTACTCAGCTCCAACTAGGCATCTACTCTCATACTGCAGTTCCATCTGTTGTTAGTGATCGCTTTTGACAGGTTGGCTGGGTAAACAAGGATATGTCATCTGATGACTACGGACAGTATACTCTATCACTTGGGACGGCTTTTGGTGTTGACTGTTATGCTTTATTGTTTCTTGCTTGCCGGGGGTCATTTGAGAAGGTTAGGATTTTAGTATCAAAGGACAAGGCATGCTCGGATTCTAATTGAATTCTCATAAAGAGGCTCATAAACCTTTGAATGTCTGTCCGTGACGTTACATATGTAGCTCCAATGCGCAATCGAGGATGATGTGAGGAGAGGAATGATTGACAGATACACAGTGAACAACCACAGAGCCAGAAACAACACTATAGAATATTATCTCCCTTTGGCTTTCATGAAAGAAGAGAAGCTCGATCAGGTCGGGGACGTGGCACGTGGTCTTCCCGGAGCATCTTTAGACCCCATATACAGTCTTCTCCTTCACAAACAGCATCATCAATCCACTATATACTATATGCTCCTCTATCTCTCAAGATCCAGAAACCGAAAATGAATCATGCAACGACCCCAGCCCCATCGCAAGTAGCCCTGGCGATGGCAATCGTCAAACATAAGCCCGCAGATCAAGACATCAAAGGTACGTAGCTGATCGTCTTCAATCCAGCGACGAAGCCTTCCGCCTATCGAACTCATCGCAGTACGTGCATAGAATATATCCTGCGAATCCGACAGCACATAAAATCGAGCAGGGAAAACACCCACTTCTACCCCCAGGTAAAGTTCTTCGACAGCGTCTCGTTCTGGCAGAAAGCGTACGAGAAGTCCGAGGCGGAGCAGAGCAAACTACTAGATCGCGTTTTCGAATTGGAACGTCGAAACGAAGCCCTCGTTGCTAAGCTACAGGTCCAGGAAAATGATGCCGGGAAGGACGAGGCAGCCTTGAAACGGAAGACACCTGCGGGGAAGAATGCCGCGGGAGCAAGGAAACGGACAAGGACGCAGATTAATACCGGGAATTCGAGAACTTTGGAGTATAGCTACGACTCAGCTGATAGTTTCGGTGGGAGATTTGAGTATATTGAGGAAGGTTAGCAGATCCGCCTTTGTTTTGTGGCGCAAAGTGGCTGACAGTTCTAGTTACCGGTCCATTCATGAGACAGTTCTATGCGCTGCAAAAGACTTTACAAAAACGACCTAGCAATGGAGAACTTGCGCGATCCGCGGTGATTCTGTGTCAAACAATTTCCACCGAGATGAGCAACCTGAGTAGCTATGAAAGAGTGGCTAGTGGTCGCGCAAAGAAAGTTCCGCTAGAGAGCAAGGACCCTGATATACTTGCGGTCTTACATAGTGTCGACTGCGCTTTCCAGCTTCTTTGTCAGGCCCTGAAAAGACTTTCAGGCTCGTTGAACGAGGCTGGTATATTAGTGTATCATATAGTTGAGCTATATGAGTCTACCATGAATGCTCTACAACAAGAATGCAAATCGACAACCGACCAGCTATCATGCGACGCAAAGACAAAGACCAAGATATCCAAGCCTAAAAAAAGTACAAAGTCGAAACGCCTTGTGCCGAGCCAGTCTACCGGTGCACAGTTAGGCCCTCACAGCGAATTAGCAGCGCAAATAACTCGCCTACTCAACAGCATGGCGATTTCCCTTGACGTTGCCAGCGCAGGGCACCAGAGTCTACTCGAAGGATTTCTCTTTGTCCTACTCGGCCGTGTCGGAAAACTGTTGAGCTTGTTTGTTTTCCAAGATCTACAATCTCGACCTGATCTCCATGCAGATACCGAGAAACTCCCGACTCCTGCGGGTTTAAATGAAGTTGATATGAATGATCAGTCACAGTCTGCAGCGAAAATGGAAGCAAAGCATGTCATCTGGCTTCTAGAGAGAGCGTTAGCTGTTATGGATAATTTCCAGACCTCGGCTCCAACACCACCTTCCCAGAACATCGGCGTGAATAGCATATTTACTTCAAAGATTAAGGAGCGACTGCAAAGCACTCTCCTACAAGCGGTTTTTGGGGGAAGTTCCGAATGGAGGCATGCTTTGCAACCGACGAACAAGCCAGATCAGAGAGACCTAGACAGATTATTGAATCATTCTCAAACTTCCGAACAAACTACCCCGGACTGGTTTATACAAGAGGTTTGGAGACTACTTGGTTGGGAAATGCTTGAGAGGAAATCCGTCTAGGCCGATGTGGCTGTCAAACCCTACCTTTCTCTGCTGGGATGGCTACATTTTTTTAGGACGGCTCATATATTCCCTTATAATTGCAGCAATACCAGTTTCAACAATCTTTATATTCGGCTTCTCTATTCATAGAGACCATATTTGTCTGAAATGCATCATTTCAAGTTCAGAATACGGGCTGCATTTCCACCTAAGACCGCCGCCACTTTATCCGCGTCCTTTTCAAAAGTAGCGCTGATTGCTTTATAGTTGGTCGTCACACTTGGCCATTGCTGGCCCTCCTTGCTATCTAGAGGAGGGAAGAACGGATGATCGGTACCTGATAACTAGTCAGCACAAAGTTAACATCATCGACGAAACGGAGCGTACCAAAAAGCAGCCGGTCTGTACCAGACGCCTCCACTGCAGCTTGCAGGCCGGCCTCGCCGTACACGACAGCATCTAAGTAGATGTTCGTCTTCAGGACATCCCAAACGCTGCGCTGCGGTCCCGGCACATCGCCACCATTCGCAATGAATTTGCGTTCATGGTGAATGCAGCTTTCTAGACGACCCGCCAAAAACGGGAGCGTGCCTCCTGAATGCGCCAACAGGATCTGCAGTCGTGGGAAGCGATCAAACACGCCCGCTAGGAACATCCGGGTCACCGCGATGGTCGTTTCGAGAGGAAATCCCAACGCCAGCGGGAGGACATGACCGTAGCGATTCATCGCATCGGTCCCACCGAAGGCCTCGTCAGGCAAGCCATAGTGTGGATGAAGAAACATCAACGACCCGGTCTCTTCCAACGCGCCCCAGACTGGATCCAGACTTGCGTCGTCCAATCCCTTTCCGAGTCCCGAGGTGCCCATGATCACTCCGCGCAGGTGCGGCAGCGTCTTCAACCGCTTGATCTCGCTCACCACGATGTCGGAGCTGGGCGCACTTAGCGGCAGGGCGCCGAAGGCGTAGAGTGTGTGCTTCTCATGCAACGTGAGCGTCTTCTTTGGGTCCGCGGCCTCATTCACCTTCGCGCAAGTATCCTCCAGGTTATCGTTGATGCGTTCCGACCATGTCTGCGCCTCTTGCGGCTCCAGGAAATCCAACCAGGGGTTGGCGAGAGATATTACGCTGGTGTTGATGCCGTGACGACGCATGAAATCCAGCTTCACGTTGATGTCCCAGTAGGATGCATCAACGGGACGACCTCGCTCGTCGAGAGGAATCGAGGGATCATCATCCGAGGAGAGAATGATCAGGCGCGGGTCTGCATTGCCGGCAGGATCGTGGACGTAAGGGACAGTGTTGCGTCCCCGCAACATCTCCATGTAGGCTGGAGGATAGACATGAGTGTGGATATCCACCACGAGAGACATGGCGATGGTTTTCGATAGGTCAGGGCGAGAAGCACGATAAATTGAAAGGTGAATGGTGTCTCTGAAGAAATGAAGAAGAAATAATGAAGGAGGAGATCAGAGACATGTGAGCTGTCCCTGTTTGAATGCGGGGTTCACGCAGACCTGGGAAGACGCCGAGGTTGTATGCAATTATTGAGGGACAAGTCAATCTCTCCAGCACTATCGACAATCAGACAATCAGATAATCAGATAAACTGCGATTATCAGATACTCATTCTTCACCAAGAGGGCTATCAAGATAAGCTATCTGGCATCGCCGGAACCAGAGGCGATTTGGCTTATCGCATCTCCCCCGCCCGATTGGAGATCATTCTTCCTCGTGATCTCCCCTTCTTTTCTTTCTTTCTCTTCCATTCCGCCACTTCTTGGCCTGACTGCTATTTATCTGCTAGGACTGGCATTTCGTCTGTCTGAAAGTTGTCGTATACTACAGATACTATTTGCCGCTGCTTCTCATCTAGACCAGCACGATGGAAGGCAACCTGCCACAGCAACAGTGTCATCCGGCATCTACTGCCGTGGAGAAAGATGGTCTGGTTATCCCAGTGAGTAGCCTTCATCTCCAAGTGGCTCTGACTCCATTGTTCAATGAAAGCGTTCCTCTCGTCGCCCGGGCCTGATCAAATACTCGCTGTAGATCATTGACTTCAATCCCTTTCTAAACGGAACACCCGCCGACAAGCACGCCGTCGCCACGTCCGTCGTAGAGGCTTTCAAATCCTCAGGCTTCCTCTACCTCAAAGACCACGGCATCCCGCCCTCCGTGGTATCTGGGGTCTTTGGCTCGTCCGCGCGCTTCTTCGCTCGACCCCAGGAGCAGAAGGACGGTTTGTGCTGGACTACCCCACAGGCGAACCGTGGTTACGTGAAGACGGGACAAGAGAAGCTAACCCTGCCGGACGATCCCGAAACTGACAGTGACAAGCTGCGCGCAACCCCGGATCTCAAGGAGACGATGGAGATCGGCCGCGAGGGCGTGGACGGGCTCCCCAACCGGTGGCCGGATCATCTCGACGACGAGGGCAAGAGCTTCAAGGAAGCGATGCTCTCGTTCTGCAACATGTGCAAGGCCCTCCACATGGAGGTTATGCGCGCCATTGCTCTGGGCATGAATCTGCCCGAGCACTTCTTTGATTCCTATGTCGATCAGGGTGATAATACTCTGCGACTGCTGCATTATCCGTCCGTTTCGAAAGATGTGTTCAAGGCGAATCCGCTGCAGGTCCGCGCCGGCGAGCATAGCGATTACGGATCGATCACGCTTCTGTTCCAAGATCATCGCGGGGGCTTGCAGGCCCGCAGTCCCAAGGGGACCTTCGTAGATGTGACGTCCATCGCGGACACGGTGGTGATCAATGCCGGGGATCTGCTGGCGCGGTGGTCCAATGATACCATCAAGAGTACTCGACACCGGGTGGTAGAGCCTCCCCATGCGGCGGACGAGGAAGGCCCAGAAACGTATCCAGACCGCTACAGCATCGCGTACTTCTGCAACCCTAATATGAACAAGCTCATCGAAGCTATCCCTGGAACCTACGGGGATGACCTGCGACAGGCAAAGTATCCTGGTATCACTGCCGGAGATTACCTTGTGCAACGTCTGACAGCCACGATTTAACCGAAGGCTTGTGTGATATGTATTTGTTGAGTTTGAGTTACTCTGTGTGATAATCTGATGCCCTGCTTTCTTGATCTAGTTCAGCTTGCAATGCTACTCAGAAGAATGATCAGGATTGTATGTACGAATCCTACACGAACAATGTATCCTCTCGTAATCTCTATATCTCCGTCTACCCGACCATCTAATAACTCGACGGCAACACACTCAACCTCCCTCCATCCGTGACCGTAATATTCCCATTCAAATACCCCCCAGCAGCACCCGCCATATACAGCACCAAGCCACCAATATCCTCCTCCCCCCCAGCCCTCGTCAACGGAATCATCTCCCTCCCAAACGACCCGTCCGAAATCCCCTTATCATCGTCCCCGAAATTGTCCGCCGACATCTCCGACAGATACAAGCCCGGCGCGATGCCATTCACCCGTACATCATACTCCGTCAACAGGGTCGCCAACACCTTCACTAGATGATTCACCGCCGCCTTGGACGTGTTATACGCGATACTGAACGGCACCCGGCGATTAAACCCCGCAATCGAGCTCGTGATGATCACCTGCGCCGTCGGGCCCGAGAGCACATTCTTCTGCGGTGCCGGACGCAGCTTATTCGCGGCCTCCAGTAAAGGCAGGAAGGCTAGCACTGTGTAGTACGAGCCTGTGACGTTCACGTCAAACGTCTTCGTGAAGTCCTCCGTCGGGATGGACCAGAGGGCGTCGCGGACTTCGGAGAGCGAGGGCCGCGAGCCGTCGGGTTTCGAGGGCGGAGCGCGCGCAAGAGGGCCTAGGATGCCGCTGTTGGCGATCAGCAGGTTCACGTGGCTGGTTTGCGCGGAGATCGTTTTGTAGGCGGCTTCCAGGGACTCCTTGGATGAGATGTCCGCTGTGATGGGGATTATGGCGCCGCTTGTGGGCGCCTGCGCGGCGGTCGCTTGTAGAGCCTCGAGTCGTCGGCCGATGATGAAGACTTTGGAGGCGCCGTTGGTGGCGAGCGTGTGTGCCATGATGCGGCCGAGGCCTGGTCTGGGGTTAGTTTGTTTGTGATGAGTATGGGTGTACGGTGGTGATGCTGGGGACTTGCCGCTTCCTCCGCCGGTGATGACAATGACTTGTCCCTGGACGGAGAATAGATTGGATGCTAGGAGATGAGACATGGTTCTTGTCTAGATGAGGAGATAGATCTAGTATGTATGCAGATGATGGTCGTAGAGGGGAGATTTCGGGGTCGGATGGGAAAGTCCGAGTCTATGGGAGTTGCGGATAGTTGAATTGAGAATACCAGAGATGGGAATAGCTTGCTCAGAAAAGATGCAAAGAGAAGTCGGAGAGGTTGACCGGATGAAGCTGGCGATGGCGAGGGGGGAAATGCGGGGCTGCGCTGGTGATGTGATTTCCGCGGATTATTAAGTGACGATCCTCTTCCTCTTCCTGGTGATACATTTGTCTCTCCTTCATGTCGCACAGTGGAAGACAGTTTTACGTGTCTTTCTTCCTCTCTGTCTCGCTCTCTCGCTCTGTCTGTCGTAAATAACAGCGATGATCTAGACAACTTCAATTATCAGCACCAACCATGTCAAGGTCCAGCGATTCCAACATTGTTAGATATCATTCCATGACTTGTTGTTCGGTTGATCAGAATTTGACAATTCGAGGATCCTCTTAAGCCGGCAAAATAACCTTCTGTCTTTTGCTCTCATTCTATATGCTGATATGGCTGGTCAGAATTACCGGAGAAGGAGGGACATCGGCCTGCAACGGATGCGAAGATCGGAAGTCTAATGAGGTCATACTCGCTGACCCTTTCAAAGACCAGCCCGATTACACGCGGTGTTGGGGGAATAAGTCCACCGGATTTAGTTTCCATACACGATGATTCATGTTTGATTGACGTCTTCGCTTCCGAGCCAGCCGAAACCATCGCAACACTGGCATTGTATGCGTATCGTCCACGCCGAGATGACGTGACCCAGTGGAAGATTTCCTACAAGATCAGGCTGGTAGGATCGATGATAAGATGCATCGCTTCATGCATTAAGTCAGTTAGGGATGAACCTTGGTTCGGAGCCGTCGATCTGGAGGTCAGCTGTAACGTAATTCCATCTGGAGAGTTTCTCATTCGCATATCGGGCATTAGGTCATAGAAAGCTTTTCGGTTCAACCAACACCAGGCTTTTGCTCCCCGGACTCCTTACAAAACAATTGGGACTCAAACCCTGCTCTGGTTATCGAAGACTTGCGTCAGAGGTAGGGGCTGTGAGTCCCCGATGATGCATTTCAGAGAATCCATATAAATTTCGCCGTGGGCCTGACTCAGGCCGGTGACTGCGATGACTGTACCCTTGCAGATTTTCTCATAGGGAAACCTATCGTTGATGATGCCCAGAAACAACTCGCTGGTGTACAATGGGCTGGCCCTACTGGCCTCCCTGCCCTTAACCTTGGCTGCTCCCAACAGAATGTTCGCTCAAGCCAACTCATCCGTGCCGGTGGTCAGTCACCCAGCTTCGCTGTCACATGGACCGTATAGCGGAACCCCTACCGTCACAGGGGCACTTAATGCCACTTCGATTGGACCTGGAATCTCCAGCCTAGGAGTTCCTCCGGCAGCTACCACCTACCCCAGTGACGGGCAGCTTCATAATCCAGAACCCGGTCCATATGTCCCCGCTGGAGGAGTCGGGACAAACGGAACGACCCCGGTATACAACGCCAAGAGTGATTTTGATTATGAGTCTTTGGTAGGCATTTGGACACCAGTTACGACTACTCGTGCTAACATTCACTAGGCCCTTGCTCTCTATCAAGAATACATCGAGCTTGACCTGTTCCACGACGGGCTGGCTCGCTTCTCCGCGGAAGACTTCACTGCAGCCGGACTGACCGCCGAAGATCGCTATCTAATTCAATTCATGGCAGAGCAGGAAGTCGGACATGCCACCATGTTGACCAACATCCTAGGTGCCAACGCGCCCAAGCAATGCACCTACAACTATCCCTACACCACCGTGCAAGAGTTCATCGACTTCTGCCAAAAGCTCACCCGCTTCGGAGAGTCCGGGGTCTACGGCTTCCTGGGTCATCTGGACTCGCGAGAGGCGGCAACCCTTCTGACGCAGTCGATCACCACCGAAGCTCGTCAGCAGATGATCTTCCGCCAATTCGAAGGCCTCTTCCCCATGCCCGTCTGGTTCGAGGCGGGAATACCTCAGTCCTGGGCCTGGACATTGCTAGCACCATACATCAGCTCCTGTCCCAGCGGCCAGACCCGACTGGCCTGGCAGAACTTCCCAGCCCTGCACATCTTAAACCAACCGAACCCGACCCGTATCGACGGGGGCTCTGCATTCAACGAGACCTCCGGCGGTGGCATGAACCCCTTGACCAACTCAGGCGTCCCCGAGGCCCAGTCATGCGTCAATTCCACCGTCGCAGGCACGAACTGCAGTCCTGCCATCACCCACAACCGCACGCAGCCGCTCTCCTACCCCGGCCGCTCCGTCTCGCTCACCTGGGATGCGCCAGGCGCCGCGGTCGGTCCGAACAACAGCTACGTGACGTCGTCGACGGCCGGGCAGCCTAAATTCGTCGCGTGGGTCACGCAGTTGAATGTGACTTATTCCGCATTGAACTCGAACGGCAGTGGTTCGCGAAGTGGCACGACTGTTCAACCGGACCTGCAGACGTATGCTGGCGATCCGGCTATCAATGGGACCGTGTTTATTGCCGTCACGGACTCGGATCTGTACTTGACGCCGTTCAATCTGAGCATGATCAATCCGCATGTGGTTGCTGGACCGGCTCTCTACCAGGCTGGTTAGCTGTGCAAATTACTGATTGATATGATTATTGCACTCTGTATTAATGTGGTATAGTGGATGGAGGATGACCTGAGTCTTTCTTGTAGTTGGCATGTATTAATCATAAATAATAGCCCCGTCGGTTTCGACATAAAATGTGACCATATTTGACGTTTCGGATAGAATCGTACTAATCTTAGTAAAAACAGTCAGACGCTCAATGCAAGACAGAAAAGCAGCTAGCTACTGTACTACCTAAGCCCCGACCAAATCCCAAATCCCATCATCACTCTGCAGGAGAGGTAGCGCGAGAGTGCTAAGAATTCACACTCGCTTCTCTCAAAACTATACCATGTAGTACAACATCTATCGCTTAAGCATGGTAGTCAGCGGGTGACAGGCACAGGCACAGGCACAGGCACAGGCACCGATGCACATGCACTACTACATACAAGCCATGAGCTGTCGCTTTTTGGATGATATGTTTCAGTTAGTTACTTCGCTTCTTTTCACCTGAATCATAGCAAGTTTCCTGTGCTAATTGAGGAAGTAGAATTTGGCCATTCAAAGATGATTAATCAGTACCACCCATATCTCTAAAAATAAAAAAGTATAAAAAAATTGTAGAAATTAAGGCCACAACTCGGGGATACCAAAACACCCCCAAATCCAAACCCGATAAACAGACAAGACCGACAGACAGACAACTAGAAAAAAGAAAAAACAAATTCTAAGCCCCTAATACTCCATACAAAGCCTCGGCTGAATTTCCAAATTAATTCACGTTCATTTACCGCGCTCAGCGTACACGGCTCCTAGGTACAGTACCATCCACCTTGCCAGGAACGGTCTATGTCCTAGCGCGTGTCCAAGAGAGGGACAATAAACTAACCCATCAACCCTTGCAAGGCACAAATAAACACACACACACACACACCACACACCCTCCCTTCCTATCTGCCTGTCTGTTGACGTGGCGGCAGCCGGCACGAGTTGGCAAGGGCCAGGGCCGTTAGTCTAGTCAGTCCCCTCTCTCCTGCATATTGGTCGCGTTTAACCCTGGTTCATGCGGCATGGTGCATGTCTACCTACATACGCATACATGGTTAGGTACCGACCTAGATGGAGGGGGAGTCTAACCGTCTTTTTTATCTCCTCGCTTTTTGTCTAGGGATTTCGGGGTTTCTCCTCTTTCTCCTCTCTCGTCTAAATTAGGCGCAGTTCCTAGACCTGGTACATACATACATAGATATAGTCTAGAACTAGGACTGGGACTGGGACTAGGGCCAGGACTAGGGGGGCTGAGACATTGACATTTGACAGGGGGAGAGAGAGTGAGGGAGAGTCTTGCGGACAGGAACATCGACCAGATCAGATGAACGAATGCAGTAGGCAAAACTCCTAAGACGTATCGTATCGCATGGTCTTCCGACCTCGGATTTACTTGCTGGCTTGCTGACTGGCTGGCTTGCTTTCATGACCGACTTGCGTGCTGCCTTGCTGCTCGCTCTTTCGGCGTCTTTGCTACCCTCACTACCTTTGCTCTAGCTTGTAGATCTCGCTTCCCTCGTTCCTTCGCGCGTTCGTATGCTCACCTGACGAGGGAACAAGCGAGAGAGAGCAAAGGAGGGCGAGAAGTGTACCTTTTGCTTCTCAGCAAGTTTCTCTTGCACTTTGCGCACACCCCCCAGATGGGGGGATTATTGATTAACTTTGCTTATGATGGTTGATCGACAGATCATCGCATGCCAGCATCACCGGGAATAGACAAGAACCCGGATCGAGGCTCGAAGAGCTGGGCTGGTTGATCGGACTTGACAGCCTGTCAGTCAGTATGACCGAACCTTCAGACTGTCTGCTGTCAGGGAGACTATTCCGTGGGTAACTCTCAGGAAACGAGAAGCGAGGAACTAACTAGGAAGTCCACGCGTAAGACTCAGCTGTCTTGTCTTCTTTCTGTGAAGCTGAGTCTAATTATTTCGTCTTTTAGGGATTGATATCTTTTAATATTTTATTTAAGTTTCCTGAATTATTTTCCTAGTTGTTGTTCGAAGGATGAGGCGGGATGGGATGGGATGACTTCCCACCAGTCACTATCGCCATCCCGGCCACACCGAACATGACATCGGATATCCACCAAGAGCGATCGTCAATCGGACTCATTTTCATTTAGCGGTATAGTGGTGTTAGTAGTGCCATCCAGCGACAATACCAGAGACGGTGAGCTGAAACCAAAAATGAGACCACACGAGAAAAAAAAAAAAAAAAAAAAAAAAAGGTGGCGGGACCGAAGAGATCCGGAGACCAGCCGCGATACGGGAAGTCCAAGTTCACGCCGACGAACCCTCGATATCTAGCCTAGTTAGTCTCTAGAAGTAGAGTCTAGAGATCGATTAAGGAATGAGACGGCGTACTCCGCAGAAAAGACAAGAACCAAGCTGACGATGGCGTGTAACCTTCCTGAACAGGCAAAGGTGGACAATCGAATTGTCCCACTCTCTCGTGGCCGGTAAGAATGGGGGCATGCGATGCGATGATCGCGAGCGAGAGATCATCCTTCCACCCCGTCTGACGGGAGATCCTCGCATGGTGTCTGTGTCTGGTCACTGGTCTGTTCGTGGCAGTGCCCTTTCGTCTAGTTGAGACTACGCCACAGGAAGACTTTCAGCTTCGGCTTCGGCTGCTATTTTTGCTTTTTCGTTTGTTTGAATTTCTAAGCGACGGAACTATTTTCATCATTGATTACTATTTGGAGAAGCCAAGAATCATATGAAAAAGAAAGAAAAGAAAAGAGAATGCAAAAGTACGTTCTCGATCCATTTCGCTAGTTTCGTTTAGTTCGCGGATTAGGGCCTTTAGGGCGTCGTGGTTCGGGATACCCTCTGGCTTTGCGCCTGGCAAAGGTCGGTGTCAAGGGAACTTTATTATTTTCTATGTTCGAAAGCAAAGACTGACCAGGATCTAGTACAATATATTAATTAATTAATGATCAATTAATAACAGTTCACGCTATACATCCCAGTACATAGTAGAGCACCCTCGATGTAACCTCCTTGCCTGCCTACCTACTTTAGTCTCCTCCTGCTTGGATCTAGACTTGAAATCTAGAGAAATACCCAAAAGAAAGAAAAGAATAAAAAAATATAAAGAAAAGAAAAGAATCAATACCGGTGCTTTGCATGTACCGTCCGCCTCCCGTCCCGTCTCTCCCATTCCATCTCATTCTATCCAAGTCCTTTGAACTGATTACTATTCATGGAGCCACCACAGCCCATTCTATACGACCCAAAGATAGGACTCATGGATAGTTACCTAGATCTATCAATAAGCAAGACCCCAGAAACACATCAACACGAGCCAACAGAAATGAAGAACAGAAACAAATGTGAGGCTTCTTCGCCCCAATGGAGATTTTAATTCGGGCTGGATGCTGTAGGGATCCTGTCGTGAACCTGGTCGGGTTTTTGTGTTGTTTTTTTTCTTGGACTGTGTGGGTTATTTTCTCGGATTCGCTAATTGATTATGTAGTTGTTTACATATTAGGTAGTAGGTGAGTTGTTGACTATGTATGTAGGTGTGTCTAAATGTATGTACTGTACACAGACCTGGCTAGATACATACACACACACACATGTGGCAAATTCAGTTGAATGCAGCAGTGTAGGGCAGGTAGAACAAGGCAAGGCAACTTTGTTCTCTCCCTCTCTCTCTTTCCCCCTCTCTTCCTCTTCCCAGGAACCTGGAATATGCTATGAAATTTCGTAGATAGATATATCCACCGACCAAGATAAAAATCCCCCCAACCCTCATAGCCACGTAAGGTACTAGATATACTTGATTGTCTCAGAATACCCTCCGACCTCACGTCCCCTTAACTTTCCACCATGCAGAAGAAACCCTACCAAGCAATGACAGGATATGCTCTCAAGGAACCCGAACCTAAACTCAATCCCAAACTCAATCATATCATTGAATATCAACTGGATTTTGATTCCAGCTTGCTTACGGCCCTTACATACTACCTACTGTACCTTCTACTTAACTAGTTCCCTACAGGTTGACCTTGCGTCGGGTACTTCGACAGCTAACAATCAACAACTAACAACTAACAATCAATACTCAACAATCAATAGCCAAGAGGTAGGAAGACACCGATCGATTCTTCATGTCAAAAGGCAAAACGTTTGCCTTGGGAGGGTTGATTTGCTGCTGCTGCGGGCAGGCAGGGTAGAGTAAAATCGAGTGCAAGAATCCCGGAAATCTGGGCATGGGGCTTAGCCCTTCGCTGTTTTTTCTTTTTCCTGGCCGACAAGGCAGGCATGACATACAGGTGTCTGACTGCATCTCGCCGGTTCAGGTGGACGGGATGCAGGGTTCTCGATGTATGTATGATGTCATGAAGTTTATGGAGGTACGATTAAGAAAAGACATTTAATTGAGGAGAAGAAGGTGAAAGCAGGTGAAAGCAAGTCGTATGTATAAATTCGTGAGAATATGAATGCAAAGATGTACACATTTCCTTGCAACGCCAAAGGCCGAAAATCCCACGCCTAGAAAGAAAAAAATGTCAAACGCCAAATCTCACCGAAGACCTTAAGAGATCCACGAGGAAGAGGTCATAGAGCAAAAAAAAAGTCACTAAAAGAAACACCATCGGCTTGGTTCCCCTCTCGCCCCAACAAATTCCTCTGCTCCCTGCATTTTAGACCGTAATGCGTTCGTGATGCATGAGCCCAACCGTCTGGAGACTAGCGCCCTTGAACCGCGTTAGCAGGGATGTAACTATCTCTCGGTACGTGTTCATCTGCGACAGCTTGAACCGTTGAATCTTCCCGCTCGCGGTGCGTGGAATCTCCTCCACAAAGATAACCCCCCCGTCTAGCGCCTTGTAGCTGGCCAATTGTCGCCGCGCGAACTGGTACACTTCTTCCGCCTTCAACCGATTGGGAGTCAAGCCTTTCGTTCGCACAACAAATGCTCGAGGCACTTCTGTGCTCCCATCTGGAGAATTGACCCCCGTC